TTACTTACAGTTTCCAAAATTGAAAGATATTAATGGGTCAGAAATCTTACAACTAAAGCAGCCCTGTACGTAAATCAAATATTCTGGTTAGAGAATCATCTAGAGTTCTAGGAAACAAAACTTCCTCTCATCAAAAATTTAGCCATTCTATTTCTACTGTGGTAATAACATTCTAAAATCTGAAACTTGCCATAAGCATTGCATCTACTAAGTAACATGTTCTAAGAGGAATGGAAGAAAACATGCAGAAGATACTTTTTAAATGGATTTTTCAATAAAATATTGGAGCACTGTTATCCTCATTAAAAAAGTAATAAAAATGGAACCTTACTTGATATCATGTTGATAAATAAATCCCAGGTGGAATAAAGAAGCAAGTATGAAGAAAACCAATTTTTTAAACAAGAAACAAAAACAAAACAGAAAAAAGAAATCAATAAATCTGATTACACTAAAATTAAAAAACTCTGCTCAACAAAAAGACAACAGAATGAGCACAGAAAGATACAGGTGGGAGAAAAGAAAGATACTGAAATTTCACTGCATTTGTAATGTTTTATTGCTTACATACTTGAAATATTACAATGGAAATATGGAAAATCAGGGAGCTATAATTCTAGTCACTGAATTTTTCTCTGTACTTGATATAATTCTTACTTTTAAAAACTAAAAAATTAAAAGCATCCACTTTTTAAAAATGAGTCAGGAATAAGCTCAAAAGTACAAATTTTCAAAGTAGCATTAGCATTATCTTAAACCTAATCAAAATTCCCAACATTACAAAAAAAGTTTCCAGATATTGCAGTATCATCAATGATTACCAATTATCCCTAGACCAAGTTTTAATTACAAAATACTGATGAAAAGTTGTAATACTACTTCAAATAAACCAAAAAATTTTCACTCAATTTGCATTATAATCCCCTGGATCAAACAACATTATGGTGCAACTAACAGGAATAGAGATTTTCTCTACACAGTAGTTTCCCAAATTATAAAATTTTAAAGAATCCTGAGTTTGAGGTTTTTCAGCATAAGCTCCCTCTGCTCCTTGCTTGCAAGGTCCTCCAATAAACCCTCCTTGCTCATAAAAAAAAATTTTTTTTAATAGTCCTATTTTCTCTTCTATTTGCCATGAAGTGATAGGACCAGATGCCATAATCTGAGTTTTCTGAATGTTGAGTTTTAAGCCAGCTTTTTCACTCTCCTCTTTCACTTTCATCAAGAGGTTCTTGAGTTCTTCTTCACTTTCTGCCATAAGGGTGGTGTCATCTGCATATCTGAGATTATTGATATTTCTCCCGGCAATCTTGATTCCAGTTTGTGCTTCATCCAGCCCAGCATTTTGCATGATGTACTCTGCATATAAGTTAAATAAGCAGGGTGATAATATATAGCCTTGACATATTCCTTTCCCAATTTTGAATCAGTCTGTTGTTCCATGTCCGCTTCTAACTGTTGCTTCTTGACCTGCATACAGATTTCTCAGCAGGCAGGTCAGGTGGTCCGGTATTCCATCCCTTTAAGAACCTTCTACAGTTTGTTGTGATCCACACTGTCAAAGGTTTTGGCATAGTCAATAAAGCAGAAGTAGATGCTTTTCTGGAACTCTCTTGCTTTCTCAATGATCCGACGAATGTTGGCAATTTAATCTCTGGTTCCTCTGCCTTTTTTAAATCCAGCTTGAACATCTGGAAGTTCAGGGTTCAAGTACTGTGAAGCCTGGTTTGGAGAATTTTGAGCATTACTTTATTAGTGTGTGAGATGAGTGCAACTGTGCAGTAGTTTGAACATTCTTTAGCATTGCCTTTCTTTGGCATTAGAATGAAAACTGACCTTTTCCAGTTCTGTGGCCACTGCTGAGTTTTCCAAATTTGCTGGCATATTGAGTGCAGCACTTTCACAGCATCATCCTTTAGAATTTGAAATAGCTCAACTGGAATTCTGTCACCTCCACTTGCTTTGTTCATAGTGATGCTTCCTATGGTCCACTTGACTTCCCATTCCAGGATGTCTGGCTTGCTCCTTGGAAGAAAAGCTATGACCAACCTAGACAGCATATTAAAAAGCAGAGATATTACTTTGCCAACAAAGGTCCGTCTAGTCAAAGTTATGGTTTTTCCAGTAGTCATGTATGGATGTGAGAGTTGGACTAAAAGAAAGCGTGAAAGAATTGATGCTTTTGAACTGTGGTGTTGGAGAAGACTCTTTAGAGTCCCTTGGACTGCAAGAAGATCAAACCAGTCAATCCTAAAGGAAATCAGATTCATTGGAAGGACTGATGCTGAAGCTGAATACTTCAGCCACCTGATGCAAAGAACTGACACATTGGAAAAGACCATGATGCTGGGAAAGATTGAAGGCAAGAGGAGAAGGGAATGACAGAGGATGAGATAGTTGGATGGCATCATCAACTCGATGGACATGAGTTTGAGTAAGCTCTGGGAGTTAAGACATGGACACAGAAGCCTGGCGTGCTGCAGTCCATGGGGTCACAAAGAGTCGGACACAACTGAGCAACTGAACTGACTGACTGAACTGATACCAACTGGAGAAGTTGGTTTTCCCAGCTGCTGTACTATTTCTATCCTGCCACAGCCAGCCTTGTAATAACATGTCTATAAGACTAGGAAGCCACACAGGCAACTACAATTATATGTATCCCATCTACATAACAGCAGCAATCAAGCAAGTGAACATGGACTCTGAAAGCCAAAGAAGATTCAGATCCATGAGAATCTATGTGCTTTGTGTGTGTATATGTGTAAATGTGTACATACACCCACAAAGTATATAGGCTTCCCTGGTGGCTCAGAGGGTAAAAAATCCACCTGCAATGCAGAAGTCCTGGGTTTGATCCCTCAGTAGGGAAGATTCCCCTGGAGAAGAGAATGGCTACCCACTGCAGTATTCTTGCCTGGAGAATTCCATGGACAGAGGAGCCTGGCGGGACACAGTCCATGGGGTTGCAAAGCAACTGAGCAACTAGCACTTTCACTTTTTTCATATGTGTATATACATACAAATGCAGTTGCATGCATGTCTGTACATGTATGTCTGAACATCTGTACACTGTTGCATATGTATATGGTATCTTCCTACATTTCATTAGCCAGCATTTCTCACAAGTTGAAATTAGAACAGTATATCTTACATACTACTGATCTTAAAAGTACTTAAAAGAAAAAGGAGCGGGGTAAACTATACAACGTTAACTTAGTGCCTTACAAAACACTGTTTTCTTAAGAAGTTATAACAAACAAATGAGACATAGCCACCAAAAGACGGACAGCAAAGGGGCGAAAGCTGTATCTATAACAGCATTTCCTCAAAGTGCATTCCTTGGATATCAATGTATTTGTCATCTTGGATAGTCACAACACAATCAATGTACATTTTTAAGGTTCTGATTGATGCTATAGGAAAGAGGATTATTTGAATGTGTAGTTCAGTGTTTTCCAAACTTAACTGGTCATGAAACCCTTTTGCCCAATAATGTTTGTTAATGGGATAGAATTAACGTTCTGCTTTTAAAGTGCTGACCAAAATGACTCATTTTTCTCTTCATTTCTTTCCCAGAAGACTCATTAAAGAAAGAAAAAAAATCCAAGAAATTTCTCTTTTCCAAAGAAAATTTACCTGAAATTTATATCTTTTGTAACACTTTCACATAAAGCATTTAATGTCTTCTCTCTGACACCACTGACAGAATAGCAAATAATACTTCCAAGAAGGAAAACAAAACTTAAATCTTCTAAATGCTTTATGCTAAATAAATAGAATTTATTCTATTTACAAAAGTAAATTAATTCCAGCAAACAGTATTCATAGAAAGAGCTTAGATAATATCAATAAACTTCTAAGAATTTAAACATGATAAAACTAGATTCCCTTGTTTAAGCATGGGATACTTACACTAATAATTATAGAATGATATTTAGAGTAAATTCTCAATTATTTATACAAGTAAGTAACATTTAAGCAGAAAATCCAAAGATCAGTTCTATTTGCTTTTAGAATGCATCATGCTTCTGCAATTATGATGTTTTCTTACTTTTGTAATTTCCCTAATTATGTTTTCTTTTGTTGAACATTAAAAATAGTTTATATTATCATGTACACATGTGAAAATGAGAAAAATGACCCAAACCTTTGCTGGAAGATAGGGTAATCAGGTAGGTTTAAAATAATTTTTTAAGGTGGAATACTGAGAAATAATTAAATAAGATCTTATCATAATTTGGGGGTAAAAATCATTTAATTTTACCTACAAATAATTTGAAACTCGGAATAAGACAACCAGATTCACTTTTCAAAGACTATGCTGGAGTCAAATCTAAGTACAAGACAAAGTACATTAAGTCATGAATATATTCTCACTCAGGCACTGAGGGAAAACCTCTTAAAAAAAAAAGCTCTTTGAGTAATCAACATAAAATAAAGCAACAAACCTACTGAAGTGGAACAAAGCAATGAAGAAGTCATTATCAAGTTTTCAGTAACACTAAATCAGTATTATGTGAAATGCTACAATTGAAGAAAAAGTCCTAAAAGAAACAATTCCAAAGTCTAAATCAAAACTAAAAAAAAAAAACTTCTCAAAACTGAGAGACAAAATAAGAATCAACAGCAAGGATAAAACAGACTATGGTGTTAGCTCAAACATAAAAATTACAAATTCTATCATGAATAAGAAAAAGGATATTTAAGCTGTAAGGGGATTTTTTTTTTAAAGAAAACTGCCTTCTTTTATTCATACTAAAAAATGATAAATAATTATAGATTAGTAGACTTTGGTTAATTTTTTCTTCATTGACTAGTGATGAGAATGACAAATGGCGTCAAAAAGACTTTCTTCCCTCAAATCAAACTTCTCACCAAGGAATAACTATAGCATTGAAAGACTACCAACATTCTAAGAAAAGATGTAAACCATTTCTGAATTTGAACTTTGACATATGTGAAACTTATAAAGAACTCTTTTAAGACATTTAAGCAACATACCACTAAGTCTTGATCCTGAAGCAAGTTACATATTGCTTCATATAACATGGGTCTTAAGTCAGACTTGAATTTCACAGAAATCCACTGACCGATGAGCCAAATCACCCTGCGCCGCAATGGCTTATACCTAGATGGGAAAACCATGCAGTTAAAACATTAAGTATTTTAAGAAGCCTATTTCACTAAGCATATTTTATCATTTAAATCTAAAATGTAATAAGAAAGCAATATGCATTTTATATAAAAATCTAAAAGCTACTTTTAAATGTACCACAGTACAAATACTAACAACAAAGTTCTGATCTAAAAAACTGAAAATTCTTAGCAGACATATTATAAATCTGATTATTTTATATTAAGTATTTACAACATAGATATGTACATAAAAGCCAAATTCACTTCTATTCCTCAAGTAACCAAAAAGAGTTCATCTTAATAGGTGTAAGGAGCTGATGTCCCAAACCCTGAGGCAGGAGAGGCTCCAAAAAGTAATAATAATAATGAAAATAAAGGAACTCCAGTACTCAATTTTCTAATTCCAATTCTGTTCATCTCACAAAGATTATTTTCAAAACACTGTGAGAAATTTCTAGACTTAAGACATTTACAGACATGCACATACACTTGTTTCTCTATGGCCATCTTTGCTAAAGAAAATGAAGGTTCTTTAGGCAAAGGGAAAAACCATGTGTGTCCAAGACACGAACTCTCGGTATTTATTTTAGTGGCAAGATGATATTTCTGGGTGACCATGTAGTAAACTAATGAATATAACACACCTTTTAGAAAATTACAATCTTAATGTTTAACATATCTAAAAGAATTAAAGACCACAAAACTTTAGGATTGCAGAAACATAAGAGAGAAGAGCAGGCAGAGGGAGATGGGATTTGAACAGCGTTTCCTGGTGGCTCAGACGGTAAAGAATCCGCCTGCAATGCAGGAAACCTGGATTCGATTCCTGGATTGGGAAGATTCGCTGGAGAAGTGAACAGCTACACACTCCAGTATTCTTGCCTGGAGTATCCCATGGACAGAAGAGCCTGAGAGTCTACAGTCCATGGGGTCACAAAGAGTCGGCACGACTGAGCAATTTGCACTCACTTCACTAAGATAAATAGTATTTGGGGCAGAAAACTGAAAAAAATGCCTTTTCAAGGGATAGGGACGATTTGAACAGTCACAGAGATAGAAGTAAACAAGACTCGTATAGAGTAGAGTAAATGAAGGAACCACAGAGTCTTCAATTTTGGACTGAGATCTCTGGGATTACCACATTCAACACTCGAGACAAAGAGAATGAAGCTCAGAAAGGTTCAGATTCTAAGATGACAAAGTTAATAGTAGGGGTCAGTGTGTTCCTCAAAGTGTGAGTCTCAAACCGCAGGATCATTACCGGAAGGATTACAGAATCACACAATCTGACCAGGACCTTAGAACCTGCATTTTAACCAGTTCACCAGGTGATTCATATGCATATTAAAGTTTGAGAAATACGGGTCTAGCCCAGTTTTGTCCAAAAGAAATATAAAGTAAGCCAAATACGCAATTTTAAATTTATTAGTATCCACATTAAAGTAAAAGATACATGTGAAAATTTAACATTTTCACTTATTGCAATATATTCAAAATATTATCACTTCAATATGTCATCAATATATATTTAACACTGCTTTAGTTTTTAAATTCAAATTTTAGTTAATTAAAGTCATTTCCTCACTTGCACTAAGTACGTTTCAAGTATTCAGTAACCATATATACCAGCTACTGTACTGGATAGCACGGGTCTAGACTAAATAGCCTCTAGGATTTAAGGACAATCAAATTGCAAATCTGTCTCAATACTGAAGGCTTGTCTCTCCATCAAAGGCTCACGAGCAACCAGAGGGCAGACTTGAAAAACATTTTAATCACCATTGCCCTGACAGGACACAGCAAATCCCAGTGCTGAAAACATTTCATGATTAAATAAATGACTGAAAACTGAAAGGATAGCTACTTAATGGTGAAAATTACCTTTAAAGCATCTCTAGCTCATAATTCTTGCTCTAAATATTTATAAAATGATCCATACACAAATGGTTCTCTATTCATGTATTAAGGTAGCCATGTTAACTATGACTGTATGCTAAACATTCTGATAAGTACATTTACAGAAATAAATCCCTAGAACTTCCCAATTCAAAACAAGAAAAAAGGCTCTTGAAAATTTTTAAGTGTCTAATTTTAAATGCAGAAAAATTTATACAAATTATGAAATGCCCTTTCCCCTTCCATTTTACTCTTTCATTACCTAAAATTAAAATCGGACAGAAGTCCTACTTACTAAGTTGTCAGACTGATCTTCACTACTGAATTAGACACCTTAATACGAGCCTCAAGTGTGTCCAAATGCTTTCTGCCATAGTGCCACTGCAATTTCTTTTCCCCACAGACTTGCAATGCTCTGTGATCCTCAGACAGCCACTTTTCATGGATGTTACTTGGTTATGATCCTTTTGACATCAGCCCTTATCTCTGCTTAAGTCTTAACTGGCTTCCTTTTGTATATAATCTTCGTCTAGAATTCAGAGATCCCTATCTTCCATTATCTTTGCATAAAATTTCATCCTGCAAACTATCGTATCAAATGCTTAACACATGTCACAATTCACATTTGAAGTAAAATAACATAATAACAAATGATTTTGCTTTTCAGTTATAAATTCAAGTCTTATTCCTTTCTACATTAGACACTACTAGCTAAGTCATACTATGATTTTTTAAAAATTTTAGGCAATTTTAACACCTAGTCTTCATTAGAAAATCAGTAAGGTAAGATAAGTGTTTAACAAACACAAGGTTTTATACTTGCCTATTGTGAATGACTTGCAATTCTGGAAGAAGCTGGTTTTTAAACCACTGATCAAAATCAACACTGTCAAACAACTCATAAGCCGCTAATCCAACAGCATTATACACTAAGAAGAAGATTAAAAAAATAATTAATTTCAAATACTGGGCCAAATGCTAACTGTCCTTATGTAAGAAAATAAGTCTTAAAAAAAAAAAATAAGTCTTAAAGACTACTTTGAAATATGCAATAAGTTAATAAATGGAAATCTACAGTATGTTAATCCAGGAAATTATTTAAACAAACATTTTAGAAACATTTAAATTACATCACTCTATGTTTTTCTTAAATATTCAGTGTTTTCAAAGAGAAAGTTACATTCATTTAAAACTATTCATGTCAAATTACAAAAATAACATTCGCTTCCAAATGGATGCAAGATTTTATGCTATGGTCCCTGATAACCCTCTTTCCAGTCTCTTCTCTCACCACAACCCCTTAAACGCTATGTTCCAATTAAATCAAATACTCCCAATTCAAAAGTTAACTGTGCTTGTCCTTCCAAATGGATGCAAGATTTTATGCTATGGTCCCTGATAACCCTCTTTCCAGTCTCTTCTCTCACCACAACCCCTTAAACGCTATGTTCCAATTAAATCAAATACTCCCAATTCAAAAGTTAACTGTGCTTGTCCCTCTTCCCTTCAAGCTTCTGTCCATACTGCTCCTTTTATCCAGAACCACCCTTCATCACTTATTAACTCTCACTTATCCTGTGTCCTCACAGAATACTTCTTTAGGAGATGCTCAATGGGTACACCAAAACTATTAATACCTTGTAGTTTTCCACAGCACTATCTGATTACCATCTATTTTAGCATTAATCAACTGATATTATGTTATAATCAACTGTACCTGATTACCATCTATTTTAGCATTAATCAACTGGTACTATGTTATAATCAACTGTTTGCTCACTCTCCATCACCAGATAATTCCTAAATTTTAGATATCCTTGTAATCCAACTCTTGCAGCGTAACACCTGCCACAAAACAGATACACCCTACTGAAGAAATCAATGCTTCTAAATCATTTTCATTTAACATACCGGCATCTTTGATTAATAGTGCATTCATATCTTCCACATTAGTGGGACCTGAAAAAACAAGTATCAGCAAGGGTAAATTAAAACTAGTTTTTAAAAATCACTTAAACTCAATTTGTTAGTTTCTCAGTTCAGCTAACTACAATATATTTTGTGGATATTAAATATATAAGAGAAAGTTTAAGTTTTGTTCTCATCATCATTAGAGAAGACAGTTACAACACGTAAAGCCATACTACAGCTTTAGAAACCATTGTAACATACTTGGAAAATGTTATATCAAGCAACATTCTAGAAAAATATATGTAAAACTGCTAACTACTGTATTATATCCTGATTATAAGAGAAAATTTTTAAAAAGAATAAAAAGATGAATCCCACAATAGGAAAAAAAAAAAAGAACAAGAATAGGCAATTTCATACAAAAAGTTTTATTTTTCTAAATATAAAAAATAAGCCAGGTTATGACAATACATTAAAGATTTGACAACAAAATGAAAAATGTAAATGAGAAATGAAACAAGATGAAAAATGTAAATGAGAAATGAAACAAAATGAAAAATGTAACATGAAAACCAGAATAAAGAGCTGGCAGTCCCTGCACGACTATCCAGAAGGAGACGACCACAGTTAAGACACAAAGAACACAGTTTAGTTTACTCAGTAAGCATATTTCTTTAGGACAGAAAGATTCCTAGCAAGTTTACCAAAGCACTTTTCTGCTGTTAAATATGACTTCTTAAGCATACAGCCCTAAATAAGTAAATCACTCCAGAACTGGAAAGAAAATAACTAAACTCTAAAATCACTGTAAACCTTACCATCATAGAGCAACTTATCAGAGGGTAACCTAATTAGCTTAACCACTTTCCTAAAGTGGTTTAATAAAAATAAATGGATGGGAGAAAATGGAAACAATGTTCTAAACACAACAACAAAAAAGGTAACTTCAGCAGTACATTACCAAATTTAAGAATCTATAATGTTGCATTAAGAAATTAGTAAATAACTACATCAGAAATCAATCTATATCAAACTATAATGAATGCTCACATTACTTTTAAATGAACACAAAAAACTTGATGCATAGCTCATTTACTCCCTTGGTTTACAATTTAAGCAGGAGCACTCCATTAGATTTTTGAGAAAACAAAAGCCTAAAAAGTGAGCTACCCTCTGATAGTATAAACAAGATCAAGAATCTCATTCTCTACAGGAGATCCTCTTACCTTTATTTCCTTACATTACCACCCACTCAACAGTTTATCCCTTACAACTCCTGCCCAAACCAATCAAATAATCTGTGTAAGATTCCCTTGCCCAGCAGTGTCAGTTAATTGCCAAAAGTTAATCAATCAACAGTTACTGTGTGTACCAGACACTGGGAGCAAGGTGAGAAAAAAAGATGTATTCATGGCCTCCTCCGTGAAATTTACACTATATCAGAATAGTCAGAAATGACAAATTACTTTTAATAGTTAAATAATTACTTGTGTACAAAGATCAAGCGCCACCCATTTCACTTCATAATTCTGTCTTAAATCCATTACATTCTTTCCACTCCCACTGCCACCATCATGAAGCTAACATTTATTATTTTAACTTTTTCACCCAGTACTTCTCACAACATGCTCCAAATAGATTCTTTCCCCCCCAAGCAATATACATTACTGCCCACTATTTTAGTATGCTTACCAGAGCAAAATCTAACTATCACAATCAAGGCCTATCTCACTTGTGAGCTGCCATTCTTGTTTTCTATTTTGAAGGCTACTCTTTCAGAAAAGCACACATTCAGTCTTTTTCAAATTCATGTCTGGTATATGATCTAGGAAATACATCATAGCAGGAACTCAAAATATTTTTTTGAACACTGATTAATAGATAAATCAAAATATCACAAAATATACCTCACCTTGAAGTGTTTGCATCATTTCTAAAAGTACAGGAGTTAGAGTCTGATTATATTCATGGAATATATCTATAAATAATACTTCAGTGCATGGCTGTTGGGAAAAAAATAAGTTTCTAATGAAAACAAGGGTATATTGCAATGCTTAATTCTACATTAACACAAAGAATACTCACTCTTAAAACTCTGATTATGTTTCCAATTCTTGATTTTTTTTGAAAAAAGTTTATTAGGGTTTTTCATAAACCCAATGGGAAATAAAATTAAATTATAATAATTTCATTCATAACATGGAAAAGTTATTTCACTATTTCAATCATTTGGCATTATACATTCAAAAATGCAAAACAACAAAGAGGAAAATTTTCCATTTACATTTTACTTAATTCTTTAAATTTAAAAAGCAATCTGGAACCACATTTACTTATAGATTCAGAACTATAAATGACTGTCTTAAGAATTAGTATGCTAAAAATTATTTATTTTTCGTGGCAGTGACGTAAGTAACAACAGCGATGAATGAATTCAGTTCACCGCAGAGCTGTCTTTTCTCTAACAGACACAAGGTGTACAAGCAATCAGTGTTCCCACGGCGAGCTGGTGCACAGCGCCCGGACTCAGCCTAGCGCTCTGTGACAGCTTAGGCGGGGGAGGGGGAGGGAGGGAGGTCCAAGAGGGAGGAGACACGTGTCTGCCTACCGCTGATTCATGGTAATATGTGGCGGAAAACCAATACAACATTGTAAAGCAACTATCCTCCCGTTAAAAATAAATTTTAAAAACAGAAATCACAATGTTAATTACATAAAAGGATGACTCATTGTCATTCTTAAAAGTACTAAATCACTAGATGTTTCATAAAATAGAATACAATTAAATTTTGAAGGTATTGTGATTTATGTTTAAAATCAAATACAGATGTACATACTTCAATGTGTACAGATGAAATGATACATCATCTCAGATATTTGCTTCAAAATAATCCAAGTGGGTGAAGGAGTACTCATACAAAACAAGACTAGCCACGAGTTGATAACTGATAAGACAGGTTTTGAATATAGAAGAATTCATGATATTATCCTGTCTCTCAATATGTTTAACATTTTCCATAAGAGAAAGTTTTAAAAACTTAAGAGCAGTAAAAAAATTTTTTATAAAACTTTTAAGTTCTATAGAAGTTTATGAAACAGGTAATGCAAATTATATAAACAAAAGTCTTCAAAAAAGAACAGTTCAAAGTCCACATTTGATAAACCTTCCTCAATGTTAGCCATATCAATAAAGTATATTTTAAAAAAATTCTATAACTGAAAGCAATGGGCTGGTCTCTGAAACTCATACTAGGTAGTTAAGAGAAATAATGTACCAGAGAAGCTGTATAATTACTGAAATATTTAAGAGGAAAAAAATGTTTCTAGCCAAAAAAGGTAACTTTCAAAAACATTTCCTATTTCTGCAATGACAATTATTTCCAATTTATAAAATGAAGAAAAATTCAGTTTGCAAATCTCCAACTTAACAAAAAAATTTCAGATTCAAGTTCATAATTTAATTAGGTGCTTTCTTCTCAAATATGGACTCTTGCAATAATAACTATTTCCTACTTGACTTAATGCTTGCAATCTTCAATATAGTATCATTCTCTACTAAGAGTTACAGTAGCAAAAAAAAAAAAAAGTACAGAAGCATTACCGTTTTCCCTATCTATTTTTCTTTCAATCAATACTCACCCTCAAACTGTACTTCCAAGAATCTCCCCCTGTTTCTTCCGCTGCTGCAATTAAAAATATGACAAATGATGCTCTCCACAAATGCAATAATAATGTTTCTAAAATCTCAGTTTGGAAAACCAAGATTTTCAGTAATATCAATATAATACAGCTGCAAATTATTATAAAATAACACAGAGCAAACAGTTGAGAACACAAGGCCTTACAAAGATCTCTTTACCATAAGTTACAGATGACATCTGTGTACATCAAAGTGCTCATAACCACAAGCATTCTCACTTTCATTACAAACTCTGTACGAAAACTTCTTTGGCAGTCCAGTGGTGAAAATCCCAGGCTTCCAAGGCAGGAGGCATGGGTTCGATCCCTCGTCGGGGAACTAAGATCCCACATGCCACATCCAAAAAACAAACACACACACACACACACACACACACACTCTGTATGGAGAAAAGCTCAAAATATTTGTCACTCTCTGAGTCTGTGACATTACCTGATACACTGTCATTATAATCCTGAGAATCATTTCATACAATAGTGATGTTTTACAAGTTTAAATAATTAGTCACATTCTCCATAAATTTTCTATATTTAAAGTAAAATATTTCCAGAACTCTTAAAACTCTGGGGATTTAGTATTTCATGTTATAATATGGTATTACTACATTAAAAAAGCAATATGAAGCATAAGAGTTTAGCTACAAGAAAAAGCAAAAACAAAAATATGCATTATATAATGTAGTGCTGTATGTTCTAAATGGATTAAAATATTAATCCATTTAAAACAAAACAAAAAAGAAGGTTAAAACAAAAAAGAAGGTAAGTCTTACAAAAATGTTTATGATGTTTTTAAAATATTGGAGACATATGTATAAAACTACACAAAGGCATCCAGTCAAAGGGATGAGTAGAGGCTAAAACCTAGCCTATACCTGACCACGGCAGGAGTATTAGGTTGGTACAAAAGTAATTGTGCTTTTCCACTGTTGAACTTTGCCTGTACTGGAATGCAATCTTAAATAAACATGGTTATGCTATCCATCACCTTAGTGTACATTTTTCATTCTATGTTTTATTGCTAATGACTTATTACTTGCTGTTTATATTTATTTTACACTAGGGAAATGATACTAGACAAAAAGCAACTCCAAGTGATTTTCTTCTTTGAGTTCAAAATGGGTCAAAAAGCGGTGGAGACAACTCGCAACATCAACAATGCATTTGGCCCAGGAACTGCTAATGAACATACAATGTACTGCTGGTTCAAGAAATTTTGCAAAGGAAACAAGAGCCTTGAAGATGAGGAGCAGGCCATCAGAAGTTGACAACAACCAATTGAGAGGACCATCAAAGCCATATTTACCTGACCTCTCTCTCACCAACTGACTACCACTACTCAAGCATCTCAACAACTTTGTGCAAAGAAAATGCTTCCACAACCAGCAGGAGGCAGAATATGCTTTCCTTAGGAGTTTTTCAAATCCCAAAGCATGGATTTTTATGTTACAGGAATAAACAAACTTATTTCTCATAAGCAAAGAATGTGTTGATTATAATGGTTCCTATTTTGATTAATAAAGGTGTGTTTGAGCCTATTTACATTGATTTAAAATTCATGGTTAGAAACTGCAATTATGTTTGCACCAACCTAATAAATGACACACACACTTTATTCACACCCTACTTTATCAAGCACACAACTCCTTGATTTTCTGTAGCAAAGGCCCTGATAGTGTAGATTAAATACACTTCCTACAGGACTTCCATGGTGGCTCAGTGGTAAAGAATCCACCGGCCAAAGCAGGAGACATGCATTCAAACCCTGGTCCAGGAAGATCCAGGAAGATGCTGCAGAGCAACTAAGGACGTGATCCACAACCACTGAGCCTGTGCTCGATAGCCCAGGAGCTACGACCACTGAGCCCTCCCGCTACGGCCACTGAGCCCTCCCGCTACGGCCACTGACCCCTCCCGCTACGGCCACTGAGCCCGCCCGCTACGGCCACTGAGCCCTCCCGCTATGGCCACTGAGCCCTCCCGCTAGGACCACTGAGCCCTCCCGCTACGGCCACTGAGCCCTCCCGCTACGGCCACTGAGACCTCCCGCTATGGCCACTGAGCCAGCCCTCCCACTACGGCCACTGAGCCCTCCCGCTACGGCCACCGAGCCCTCCCGCTACGGCCACCGAGCCCTCCCACTAGGACCACTGAGCCCTCCCGCTACGGCCACTGAGCCCTCCCGCTAGGACCACTGAGCCCTCCCGCTACGGCCACTGAGCCCTCTCGCTAGGACCACTGAGCCCTCCCGCTACAGCCACCGAGCCCTCACGCTAGGACCACTGAGCCTTCACGCTAGGACCACCGAGCCCTCACGGTACGGCCACCGAGCCCTCCCGCTACAGCCACCGAGCCCTCCCGCTAGGACCACTGAGCCCTCCCACTACGGCCACTGAAGTCCGCGTGCTCTACAGCCCACGCTCCACAAGGGAAGTGACCCCAGTGAGAAGCCCATGCACCGCAACTAGAGAAGAGCCCACCAAAAGTAAAATAAATAAATAAATAAAATTATATTTTAAAAAAGATCTACAGAAATATATTAATCATCTAAAAATTAATTTTAAATTAAAATATCTTAAATAGGTAATCCATTCAGCAATTTAGAAATTTTCATCTCCGAACTACTTCCTGAAGTAAAAATTTCTACAAATAAAAAATAATAAACAATGAACCACAGAGTAGAAAGTGATCTGATAACAGAGAAAGACAGTTAATTTTATATTTTTGTTTTAAACTATGATATAACCCTAAAAAATTTTATCTTTTTGGAAAAAATTCTATATAGTTGCACAAGTAATTCATTTTCTGCTTCTCAATTTGTAATAATGACTAATAAAGAGAGGATAAACTAACTTTTGAAAGTTATATTCTCAGAACAAAAGCACTACATTAAAATACAATGTTATTATATCTATCATCAAATAAATGATATCTATTGATGAAAGGGAGGAAAAATTCATGCAAAAACTGAAAAACTGATACTTACTAAAGCCTTCTGGGTCTTCTTCCCACATTGTCAGCTCTTCTTCAGTTAACAGAAAATAATGAGAGACTAATCTTCTACATATCTCTGTCAAAGTAGGATATGTGAAGAATGCCATCTTAATCTTATGAGCTTCCAGAGTTTCAGGGCTGCTATCTAGAAAAATAAAATTTCCAAGTTAATTATACAGACAAGCATTCTACCAATGCTGGATAGTGAAACAAATAAATTTAAGAATACCTTCTAAATAGTGGTATATAAATTTTCATTTGTATTATGGACATATCTCAAAGATGCTCTTGCTTTTATTTATACCACACACACATCAGTCTTGCTTCTGTCTTACCACTACAGCTGGTACATTTCCATCCTATATTATCACATCATATTGAAGTGACTTACCTATATGTCTCTCTCTCTCTCTTCTACAAGACATTCTCATTCATTGTGATAAACACACACATGAATCAATTCCAAACAGAGTTGACCCCTGAACTTTCTGAGTCCATTTACACTCAGATATTTTTCAACAGTAAATACTAAACTACAGTATAGATGGTCTGGGGTTGGCTGAATTCCCCAGATGCACAGGAACAGTGAATACGGATGGCCAGCTATAAGTTATACTCATTAACCCCTGCGTTGTTCAAGGGTCAACTGCAATATAACAGTTTAACTTATTCTAGAAGCAACTTTAACCTGCCTAGAATCATTTTATCTAAGGTCAAAAGAAAACTTAATTGTACAAATAAATACAGTCTACAAACGAGCTATAGCAGTTACTGGAGTACTTAATTCTTAAAAGACCCTAGGCTTCAACTGATGCTCTACTGTTACAAAAGACAGTAGTTTACTAAATGCACTGTATGATTTATAAAAGCTGGCATTAATATACCAAAAGTTCTAATCCTTATCTCTATTTCATGTCCCAGCAATAGTTCATTTCTCAGACTTAAATGAACTTCAAAAAACTTACATAAAAATATCAACTACTTCACACTAAGATTAAAATAAGGAAATGAAAAAAAACTACCAGTAAAGCATTACCTTCAAAATTTTTGGATGGCTTATAAGCATAATTTTTGACAATCATCTTAATAAGATTCATGCACTGGACAATGAATCGTTCAAATGTAACACCTTCACCAACTTCTGTAAACACATAGCTTACAGAAAATTCCAGTGATCTCTGAATTAGAGGAGTAAATGAAAAGGGATGCTGATCCAAGAAGTCCAAAAGCTATAAAGAAAAAAATTTAATTTATTTTCTTCAAATTCACACAGGAATATAATCATTCATAGGTACATCTAATAGCGGGTAATAAACACTTAGCAAGTTTGGAACCTTGGTGGGAAGTCCAGTTTCACATGTAATATACTTCCTGGGGTATATCATACAATGTGAAAAAAATCAGATTGTATCTCATCACCTGAACTTTCTATTATTTCTACTTCAAGATTCAAAATAAACTTACTTCATACTTAATTTGATATCAATCAGCAAATGTGATAACAAAAGTACAAGAAAGGCCTTTAAAAAATAATAAAGGCAAATAATCAAAAATGTATCCTGCATCAACTGCATCTCAATGTATCAAATAGTTGATGAGAGAGATTTCTTCTATACAGAAGAATTCCAGCTAATAAATGTAAAAGGAATAATTAATAGAATTAGAATGCCATTATTTTGCAACCCCTATTCAAACAAAAGATCTAAGCTATGATCATCAATGGCTGCTAGAATCAAGGGAAAGGCTGTTGAAGAATTTAATAACTCAATAAACAATTTTAAGCAATCAGACGTTGTGCATCTCCTGATGTGATGCAATAGGAAATACACAGCATCACCTGTAAAATAGTCTTGTCATTGGCACCCTACTCTATTCCCCCCATCATTAAAAAAAACAAGAAGAAAAGCCTGAATGTGATCAAGTTTCTTATCTAACTAGAAATTTCTAAGAAATATGGGAGAAGGTGTATAGAAACAAAGGAATATGTTAACACATTCTAGTTGGAGGCACATGTAAAATGTTCCAATTTCAAAAGCTTTAATAAAGTCATGAGGTCATAAACATGAATTTCATTAATTATTACTTTTTTATTTGGCCATGCCATGTGGCATATGGGATCTTAGTTCTCCAACCAAGGACTGAACCCCCATCCTCTGCATTGGAAGGGATTCTTAACCACTGAACCACCAGGAAAGTTCCCTCACAAATTTTTTTATAGTTGGTTTTTTGAAAAAGGATTCAGTAGTGCCAGTTCTCTTTTTTTTTTCTTGTTACTTATTTGTTGAGGTAACAGATCATTTCCTGTAGAGTTTTCCGTGTTGTGGATTTGGCTGTCTATATCCATTAATTTTTTTATAAAATAATTTTATGTGAAATATATACATATTGCCTCAGACAGTGCACCCATATGATTCTATTCAAAAGATATGTGATATTAATGATGATAAACTGTCATTATGAACATACTGATTTTTTGCTATTATCTATTGTAACATGTTACCTGCTTTATGTTGTACTGCACTATCTTTTTTTATCTCTGCTTTTTCCAGTGGGTTTGAGAATAATGAGACTTAGAGGAATCAACTTCTCTTTTATTAGAACTGATTTTTTTACATCCAGGTGACTTATATATTATGATATATGGTATATATAAATTTAATTATTATATGCCTTCTAAAGGTGTTAAGATACAAAGGGCTTTTTTAGCTTTCCTGTACACAGTAAGAAAGTGTTACTTTAACACTGAATCGAAAATGTATGCTTAAAAAACATCACTTTCTTTACTAAATTTGAGTATCTATATTTCATTTGAGAAAACATAATTAAGATTAAAAAAAACTTACCACTTTAGTAAAAAGAATGATGGTCTTTTCCAGTCTATCTCTACATACATTATCTGTACCTATACTTCTACCTATTAAAAATACATTTCACATATTAGTACAAGTTTATAACGTTCTATAAATTTACAACCAAGACAATGACAAAACTTTTTACAAAAATATTATCAGATATGTTTTTATACATTTCACATTATGAATTCATGAGTGTGCACCCCCTACTCTAAATAAATAAATAAGTAAACCATAAAAAAATTAAGTTTTTAGAAAGAAATACTTAGCCTTACACTTGACACAGAAATGCTCAGTGCCATATTTCATAAAATTAATCCTAAAACACTAACTGAGCCCATTTCATAGTAAAAATGTAGCAATTTTACCTGTAACATCATGTTATCACAGTTAAAATACTTTTCAAATAACATAAATAAAAACAAAGAATTCAAAGATTAACATACTTATTTTTCCTATATCTTCTAAAAATTTTCTTCTGATCATTTCCTTGGTATAATTAATTTTTGTACTTTCAGAATAATGTCCATCAGCTCATTAACTATCCTGCTCCCTAATCATACACCTCATACTCTGTCTCATCAGTTATGTCATTCTTCTCTCCTAGACAGACTTCTATTCTTTTGTTTTAGTCCCCCATGGGGAAAACCAGAGAAAAATGACTACTTTTAAGGGGAAAAAAAACCCCAAAAAACCATATGAGCTTTTATAGTATCTGGCAACAGACTCAACAATGATTCTACTAAACTGAAAGTGACTGACAAAACAGTCAGCGACTCCCTAAGAGTGAATACACTAAGGTATATTCTCAGGGTACTAAGTCTCCAAACACACTCGCACATAAAAAACACACACATACATGTTATACATATGTGTGTGCAAGAATGCACATATACGTGTGTATCCTGTGTGGTGTGTGTGCATTCTGAGAAAAGGTGCTTATAATCATAGGGAAGAGAAAAGGATAACAGATCACCAGCATAATACAACACAAATGTAAATAGTAAATTCTTCCATATGGGGTAGCAGATTCTAGAAAGGGTTCTACAGGTAGGTCAGTAATGGTTAGCAGACCAGGGATTTACACAGTGAATACCATTTAAGGATATTTATATCAAACAGATATACTAAATGTACTAAAAGAAACAGAATCAACAAAATGTCTAAACAGCATTTGGTATAGGGCCTACACTCAATGATGATTTGCTAAACATACTACTGTCATTGGTGTCTGCAGGGAACAGAGTAGTAACAGCAGAAATGGAGAAGACGGAATTGATACAAAATATATTTCTTTAGAAAAAGGCTTCTTCAATACTTAGGACAAGACAGGTATATGAAGACAAAGCTGAGCTTCCAATTTAATTTTAGATAATTAATTATCAGGATATAAGATTTCAGCCCCCTGAGATTTGCATGTGCCAAACAGAAGCTACTAATGAATAAGGATTCTATAGTAAAAACTACTATCATGGAAGTACTTACTGCATTCCAAAAATTGTTTTAAACGTTCAAATATTCCATGTAAAAAACCCTAGAAAAGAACAACATTTTTGAAGGGTTTCAATTTAATCTGTTGTAAGAATTTACCATACACTTTCTCAGGGAAACTAAAATATACCTATCATATTAAAAAGTTAAAATTAGATAAAGTAAAAATCAATCTATTACTATAATAATGCCTCCAATCTTCCGCAAGAAAATAATAGTATTTCATCTCCTCAGTGTCTCACTTCAATAATCTAAATCACTTTGCAATAAATAAAACATTATTTATTAAGTATTCTATTTTACTAAATATCCTCTATTCCTCTTACTGTTTTATTTTTTTCCATAGGCCTTATAACCCCCTGACATAATTAGTCTCCTCCACCTAAAATGTCAGATCCTTAAGATTCAAGAACTTTGCCTGTTTGCTTTGCTCTATCCCAGAATCCAGGAATGGTATGTAGCAATAATAAGTATTCCTAATATGAATAAATGGTATCAACTATTTGTGGCAGAGGTTTTCAATCTCAAGTATTAAATTACATTAGCCTTCAGAGACCAGAGAAGGCAAGAATCACCATTTACCATACGGGTCCAAAACACCTTTTACTATATTTTTTTAAGACATGTTATGAAAACTTTGCAGAAATAAATATAAAGGGGTACTGAAAAAAAACTTTATTAAAGTTTTTAAGAATTTAAATATCACAGACTTTTTGTATAAATAAATTTTTGTGTATAAACATCATAAAAGATGTCACATGTCCTTTTAGCAAATGAGATGGTCCAGGTTTTTGTCACAAAATACTATACATTTTCCTGATGAATGACTGACTAGAACAGAATGTTGTTATTTCTTCTTTGAAATACAGAGATATATTGCTCACTCATCAATTCTTGAGTTTGAGCCAATTCACCTAGGATGTCATCATCTGAAGTCACAGAGGCTAAAACTCCACTTAGACAGTTTCACTATCACCACTGGGGTCTAGGGGGCTGCTACCAGTTTCTTAAACAGTATCCATCTTCAGATTCATGTAAATATCATGAAACATTTTCCTCTGTCAATTTTCATCTCTCAGTCATTTTGAGCAGAAAATGAAAAACTGAATTATCAGCTATGTTAAATGAAAGCTAATAGCAAAGAGATAGTGTTTGTGGTCTTCTTTTATACCTTCCCGAAAGATGACGCAACACATTAGATAACATAGTAAGAAAACCTCAGGACAACAACCAGTTTCACTACTGCTTCATCCTCTGGCTATCTCGTCATTTGCTCATTTTCATACTACTTCAATCTTTTTAAAACACGGTTGAGAATAAATTATATGCAATGATAATTAACAATAAAGTAATTTCTAGGATGATGAAATAGCAGAATTTTCAATATAGGAAAAATAAAATCACCAAGATCCCATACACATGTTAAATTTATACAGAAGCTCAATGCAATGGTCCCATACAGTAGCTACAAGACAGAAGGAATTTTATTCTATTTTCTTTTAAACAAAATTAGTGCATCAGTCAGGGTTCTCTAAAGAGAGCAGAAACTTACGAAGGACATCAATTTTAGTAAGTTCATCAAGAGGATCAGGAATTTATAGAACTGGTACAACTGACTAATCCAAATAAACCAAGTAACTTGACTAATGTTATATAATAATAAGAACCTCTTAAAATAATCATCAAATGGCAATTTACAGAACAGTTTAATTAGTTGCTGAACTCATTTCAAAAATCATTCTCTCTCATAATCCTCACAACATCCAATGGGATATGTACTGTTATTTCATCATCATATTGCAAAAAAAGGAAACTCGGTACCAAGGAAGATACTCTGAGGCCATGTTATCATGAAAAGACCAAGCCAAGATTCAAAGCCAAATCTGCCTGCCTCCAGAAACCCAAATCTCACCACTAGTATACAGTACTTCTTAAGTATCATTTACACTCCATCTTTAAGATCTTTATGCTATTTGAAATGTTGTCTATAATTTGTTAAAATTCTATTCTTATTTACAACTAATCAATAATACCACAATACAGCAGGTATAACTGAACAGGAGCTGACATACAGCTTCTGAGACAAAAGAAAGACACAAGGAAAAGCCAAAGGCTCACAAAATATGGAGAGTATCCATTGACAACTATTATTCTAATTTATAGAAATGTGATTCATATCAGTTTATTTACACTGAGGAAAAACTGATAAACATATTCAGTATTTTACTTTTATGATACTCAGAATATTATATATAATTACTGAGTCTTCTGATATATTTCTACCATATCACACAGTCATTCACTTAAATAACTACTGAGCATTTTTATACAGCACATATTATCCCAAGCTCTGGAGTGAAGAATGAACAAAAGTCTCTGCATTCATCGAACTTACATTTCTCATGAGGGCACTGAGGGAGCTGTCAAACTGGTTTCTAGAAAATGGTTTTTGATAACATGGCAATAAACGTAAATACTGGGTTGGCCAAAAGCTGTTACAGAAAAACAGGAACGAACTTTCTGGCCAACCAAAATATTTAGATCTATCAGTACTGAAAACTGGGGTTGGTTTTCATGTATCTTCAGGTAATTTGGTAATATACATCAGCATCATAAATGTGGATATACTTTAACCTAACATTTCCATTTCTAGGAATTTATCCTAGAGATCACTAGAAAAGTACACAATGACATATGCACCCAAATGTTCATTTTAATATTATTTCTCAACAGTTAAAAACTGGAAACAAACTACATGTCATCAAGAGATTACTGGGCAGGAAAATTACAGAAACTCTATGATTAATTTTATTATTTTTTTTAAATTGCATACCAATAGTAGTTGTATTTAGCATAAAATCATTAAAAACATGATATATAACAATATTAATGACATGCGAAAAATATCCACAATGCACTAAGTTTAAGAAAGAGCAAGGAAGGAAACAACCTGGAGGTCTCATTCATATAAAACTGAGGAAGACAGAAAGTATATCTGAAATAATGTGTTTATAATATTATAAAGGAAACTTAGAACTGTCAGCATGGTAAGTTTCTAAATGATTTATTATTTTCTACTTCCTCTTCTGAGTTTTTTAACTTTAAAAAAACATAATATTTTATAGAAAAAAACTGTATTCACATTATAATGATGTATATTAGCAGTTTTTAATTCTTTTAACAATAGAACCATTATTTCAAGCAAAATCTTACAGAAATACAAACCAAAGTTCAAAAAAATAAAAGTGTGACTCTGATCAAATGTAAATGTAGTGGGACAAACCCAAAGAACCAATTAAATATACTTTTTCCAAGCTTCCTGTGCCGCCCCGCAGGCAATTCACAGAGTAACATTCTAGCTGACCTAAACTCACTGTGAAAGCTAATATAGATTTGAACAAGTATGATACAATTCCATTTTGTTCAGGAATAAAATATATGCATCTATACATTTTTGCATATAGAAAAAGTAGATGCCATGATACGAAAATGAGTATACTGCAAAATTTTTTGGGCTTATCAATGGAGTTTTCCTCTCATATATATATTTTTATAATTGATTACAAAGAACAAATATAAATGTTATGATTCGAGAGAAAAATACCTCACTTTAAGTATATAAAAATAGACAAAGGAAAATACCAAGAATATAACTCAATCTACACTGACCCTAGTAATGTTTTCGTAGCATTCAAATTCCTAAGAGTTCACTTGATTTCAAATTCAAATAAACACTCTCAGTGTACCATGGCATCTTGAGAACCATCCTAGTTCTAGTTCCTCCCTTTCACATAATAGTTGCTTTGATGTATTTTCTGTATGTCTGAAAACAGACCACAAGTCTAAAAGTATAGTATAACATATATAGAATGGTAAAAAAAAAAGAAGAAGAAGAAATGAAGTGGTCACTTAATAAAAAAACTTTTAAATGAATGCCAAGTAAAAAGAATAAGCTTTATAACATGCAGGAAATACCAGGCACTTTTCCAAAGTAACAAAAAAAATAAATGACTTCTTTTACTTACCATCACCTCCATATTCTTATGAGGTTCCACAAATCCATTAACAGTTAACTTACGCAGCACTGAAAAGTAAAATCAGGCTTTACTCATACCTTATTTTTTCGTATTTTTCCCTATTAAAATCATAATCATAAAAGACTCAGAATCACAAAGCCTCGTGAAGCTTGGATGAAGAAAGGTAACTCCTGGTCACTGGCTTGTTCCCAAGTGGGAAAGATGGAACGAAAGCCAGGTTATTGTGTCTCTAAAGCAGTATTCTTCTCACTTGTAAGTACTCATGTTTCTAAAGCCATATTGCAAATTTTAGTTCAATTTACATAATTATTAGTACTTCTCACTTGCAATAATACCTATAGGTTGAAGTTGAGAAGGTTACTTCTATTTCATAAAGTATTACTCAACAGTGATGAAAAAGCTTCATTCAGTTTTAAAGTACATTAATGAAAATACAATATCTCCGAAAGGGATAAAAAGATTAAACTCTATTCCAAATCTGGAATAGACTACAGTGCTCAATTACAAGCATCACATTTTATGAGTAAACTGATATACATGGGAAGATAAGCAGGATAACAGATTTGAAGTCAGATCTAGATTTAGAAATCCTAGCTCGTGTCTAAAACTATATTATTTTGGGCATTCCTCATTTATTATTTTACACTCCTCATTTATAAAATGTGGTTACACAGATAATAAAGAAGACGTGATATACATGGAATACTATTCAGACATGAAGAATAATGACATTTAGCCATTTGCAACAATATGGATAGACCTGGAGGGTATTATGCTTAGTGAAACAAGTCAGACAGAAAAAGACAAATACTGTATATTACCACTTATATGTACAATATGAAAAATAAAACAAATCAGGGAATACAACAAAAAAGAAACTCAGAAATACAAACTAGTGATTGCCAGTGGGGAAAGAAAAGGGGGTAGGCACAATAGGGCTAGGGGATTAAGAGGAACAAACTATTATATATGAAATAAGTTACAAGAATATATTATACAGAACAGGAAATATAGCCCATATTGCATAACATCCTCAAACGGAATATAAACTATAAAAATTCTGAATCACTATGTTGAATAGCTGAAACAAATACTGTAAATCAACTATAAAAAAAATTTAAGGTAGTTATAAATCCTATTTCATAGGGTTAACAAAGGATTCAATAGTACAACACATGCAAAACACCTAGCAGAATTTAATAGTAACCAGCATGATAGCAGCATCAGACTATCACTTTATACTATCAAATTTAAAGTCACTTCACTTTAAGAAAACAACTTTATAAATCACATTGCTTTCTATATAACTCAAGAGTTAGTGTTCATGAGGTGAAGTGTAAAGGCAGTGTAACCTACATACCTACAGTCAATTAATCTTCAAAGAAAGCAAGAATATACACTGAACAAACGACAGTCTCTTTAACAAGTGGTGTTGGGAAAGCTGGACAGCTGCACATAAATCAATGAAGCTAGAATGCTCTCTTATACCATACACAAAAATAAACTCAAAATAGCTTAAAGACTTAAACATACAACACCATAAAACTCCCAGAAGAGAACATAGGCAAAATATTCTTTGACATAAACCATACCAATGTTTTCTTAGGTCAGTCTCCCAAGGCCATAGAAATAAAAGAAAAAATCAATTAATGCGACCTAATCAAACTTACAAGTTTTTGCACAGCAAAGAAAACCATAAACAAGATGAAAAGGCAAACTACAGACAAGGAGAAAATGTTTGCAAATGGTGCAACTAAAAAGGGCTTAATTTCCAAAATATACAAACAACTCTTATAACTCATATATAACTCAAAAACAAAAACAACAAACGACCCAATCAAAAAATGAGCAGAAGACCTAAATAGACAGATGACCAATGGGCACATGAAAAAAAGATGCTCAACATCACTAATTATTAGAGAAATGAAAATCATAACTATAATAAGGTACCACAGCAGTCAGAATGGCCATGATTAAAAAGCCTACACATAATAAATGCTAGAGAAGGTGTGGAGAAGAGGGAACCCTCACACACTGTTGGTGGTAATATAAACTGGTACAGTCACTATGGAGAACAATATGGAGGTTCCTTAAAAAACGAGAGTTGCCATATGATCCAGCAATCCCATTCCTGGGCATACAGCTAGAGAAAACTTTAATTCAAAAAGATACATGTGCCACAATGTTCATAGCAGCACTATTTACAATAGCCAAAACATGGAATCAACCTTCAGGATAGATTATAGTTAGGGTTACATCCATTTATGTCCACCAATAGGAAAATGGAGAAAGACACGTGTGTGTGCGCGTGTGTGTGTGTATACATACACATATATATATACATATACATACATACAAGGCACACACACATATACATACATACAATGGAATACTACTCAGCCATAAAAAGAATAACGCCACTGGCAGCAACATGGATGGACCTAGAGTCTATCAAACTAAGTGAAGTCAGAAAGAGAAAGACAAATACCATGTGATACCACTTTGTATGTGGAATCTAAAGTATGACACAAATGAACTTATTTACAAAACAGAAACGATTCACAAATACAGAAAACACATTTATAGTTACCAAGGGAAAAGGACTTGGAGGGAGGATAAATTAGGAGTTTTGGATTAGCAGGTAAAAACTACTATATATAAAATAGATAAACAATAAGGTTCTACTGTATAAAACAGGGAACTATATTCAATATAATAAACTGTAATGGAAAATATATAAAAATAATACACATGTATAACTGAGTCACTTTGCTGTATACCAGAAACTAATACATTATAAATCTATATTTTAATTAAAAAACAATATGAAAGCAGTGTATTAAAATTAAATTTATAATGCAAATGTCTAAATACCTTTGGTTTCATACTATCAATTGCATACAACTCAAGTTACTGTATCATAACAGGAGAGAATAGGGTTTAAGTAGAATCCCTTATTCTGGACAAGATCTTTTCCATCACAGGACCTCGGTCTACACTATCTGGGACAGTCTTTTCTTTCTCCTTTTATCACCCAGTCAACTTCCATTTATCCTTTATGATTTTGGTTCAAACATTACTTTCTCAGGGAAGTCTTTTCTGACCATATTATCAACCATCATAACATTGTAAAGCCCTATCACAGATGTCATTTTACATGTATTTGCACCATCATTTTATTATGTCTGTCTCCTCGGTGCCAAGCACCTACCTATAAATATGGTGTATGAAATAAAGAACACAGTCATGTCTAAAAGATACTATGCACAGGTATAAAGGCAAAGATGACATGCGACAAAAGCTCTAGTCCTTAGTACATTTAAGTCATGAAAGGATAGACATTCATACCTGGACAGACGAGTATTTTAAAGTAAAGTGCTATGAGATTTCCCCAGGTCAGGATGCCTTAGAAATGCAAATGAGTACCTAAGACCTTGAGATGCTGAGGTGCTGAAAAGCTTAGAGCATGCTAATATAGATTAGTATGTCAACATTTGTGTCAGGAGCTAGACTTTGAAGTCAGACAAGAAAATTCTACAATCAAAAGGATTCATGAAAAATTCCTTAATCATTAAACACACTACTTATATACCACTTTGTTTATCTTTGGAGTTCTCTTGTGGCTCAGCTGGTAAAGAATCCGCCTGCAGTGCGGGACACCTGGGTTCAATCCCTGCATAGGGAAGATCCCCTGGAGAAGGGAAAGGCTACCCACTCCAGTATTCTGGCCTGGAGAATTCCATGGACACAACTGACCGACTTTCACTTGTGTGAGTTAACATTTCTAAGGCCTTTTAATTGTTTCCTCCCTGATTTTGACAAAACCATCTCATTCACTTGTAAAACCACCTGTACAACGGATTGGATTTTACATATTAACAGTCCTTTAAAATAATTCACGTTTGTCCACAAGGTTCATCAAAATGTGTTGACAGTTTGGGGTTTGTGCATCCACTGTCTGCTTAACACAAGTGAGGCACTAAAGTAATGCCACTGTAAGGTACTACGGTGAGTATGATAAAAGAGCTTACAAATAAAACAGATAATGCCAAATGAGCTGCAGTAAGAAAAATAAAGCCGCTTGAGTTTAAACTAAGAAACACAAAAGAGCCTCAAGCAACCAGAACAGAAGGAAGACAAAGAATGAAATGATGGTGAATGTTAGAAAGTAAAGGAACCTTAGAATACATGCATCAAGATAAGCTCAGCTCAGGGAAATGAAAGAGATTTATGCGAGGGGGATGCCCATAAGCAAAGCATCAGAAAACACAGGCCAACATAGCAACCCAACAAGCAGCTTCTAAAATCTAAGTACAAACAAGAAAGATGAGTTCTCAGGGAAGAAAGCTGGGAGACAGAGCTGAACTAAGCCTTGAGGACAGAAGTTTAGGAAAGCTGGCATGAATGGCAGTAGCCCAGAATGAGAAATGAAGCAAAAAAGAAGTGCGAGTGTTTGAAAGGGATGTATTCAGCACCATGGCCAGTAATGTGAATGTAACTTAAAAACTAACCACTTGAACTATGTGTACTCTCATGGATTTGACAAAGTAGAAGAGCTACTCTTACAAAAGAAAAACACAAGAGCCCTTGTGTCTGAGAGAAATATTAACCCTTTATTCTTCTACTAGTGCAACTGGAAACAGAAAATCCATAAAGAGGAACTGTTTGGCCACTATTCTGAGGTATGCTGTTTCAAAAATAAACATGTCAAGCTTAATAGTACCTTTCAAGGATAGTAGAGTTCGTTCAAGTGAACTTAGAACTGCAGCTTCATTGCCAGAAGAAACTTGTTGAAGGAATGTGTCTGTGTGGTGATTCCACAGAGAGCAGGCAAAACTATAAATTCCAGAAGCTAACTGCAAAGATATCAACAAATTTGTTCACAATATTATTACAGATTTCACTAATCATTAGACCTACATAGTAATACATTTTCAGTGAAATTCAAAATAGTCAAGAATCACTTATAGCAACACATCTAACTTTTTTAGTCACAACGCACATGTCTAATTTTTTAGTCACAATGCCCAGCAGTAAGTAGTTTACATTTGCTGCCATTATAAACACAAACACACACACACGCCACCCACCCAAATATTATTAGCTTCTTGAAATATTACTTAGCCTAATGCCTGCACTGCAGTTTGATATTTCCAATCTTTACTCTTTTATTTTCTTCCACTATTATTAACAGTTTTAACACTTGGCTTTAAAAACACTTGACTTATGGAATATCACTGAGTTTACCAGATAAATCAATATACTAAGAAATATAAAGGATTTAAATTTCTGTGTCCTGCCAATTCTGCCCACCTGGTTTGGAGTATTTAAAGCCAAGAACATATTAATATGTACCAGTATTTAAAATCCTGACTCAAAATGAGAACCACACTCCAGTGGTATTTTCAAGCTTTTTCCACGAAGTCTATAAGAGCAATCCACCTCAGCCTACATGGCCATTTGCTTTAAATAAAAATTTAGTCAAAGTGCATCTGATCATTAGCACACTTCAGAATGATTTTTTCTTACTTGAGATATGTCATTCCAACTAATGAAACTATTTATAATAAGATCAGGCATCAGAAACCAGTCAAAAATGCAATCCTGTAAATATGACATTTCTATGATAAAGTCAAATTCCACTTTTATTATTTTAATGCAGTAATTGAAAAGCCTAGACTTTCAGATACAGAGAAACACCTTCACCATACCCCTTGAAACTTTGCACATATCTACGGCTTAAACCTCAGCTAATGAGTACGGGCAGAACATCCTGTAACCCTCCTGGAACACAACAGGATGAAAGGCTTATAAGCAACTGCTAGAACACCATCTCCTGCTCACGCCCCATCTCCTCTGTTAGACAGTTTCTCATGGCTTCCGGGTTCTGATAAAGTATAAGGTATCCTATCCCACCCCGAGACTCTCCTCCAGAACAGAACTGCAGATATAAAACCACTTGGTTACAATCTAGAATTGGCTTCTCAGCAAAGCAGCATCCCACAACTTGAACTGGAGTCATCCAACCCCTATTGCTTTGGTCACTGTTTTTAGTGTGAAGGCATACAGCATTTGTGACAGAAATCAAGAAAGAAACAAGTAGTATGAAAAAACTTTAATATTTCTCCTTTGTTTCACATTCCAGTTCTGGAGCTAAGCACCTACTTTAAGCATTACTCAGCTGTTACAATTCCAATTCCTAACTCTTTTTAGCTAGCCTACAAAAGGGCTCTGCACAAACAAAGATGATTAGAATGAAGAAGCAATATAACACTATGCTCTCAGCCCAAGGGTGAAAGGAGGTGGAAAAACAAAGAAGGAAGAAACCACAAGAATTTGGGAAGGAATACTATTAACTATCTTGTAAACACAAGTCTTTCACGGGTTTTTATCTGCTCCAAAAACTACAAACTGATATATGCTCACAGAAGGCTTATCTAGGAAAGAGAAAATAATAGATGACAAATAGAAAGGATTAAAATATTTCTACAATTTCTCCAAGAAAATATAGAGGGGTAGGGAATATTCAGTTAGACAATAAAAAAATAAGCTATTCAATAAAACATTTTAGGTGTTGGTTCATGAAAATCCCAAATACTTGCATTTTTCTTTTTCTAAACCAGAAGAAAACAGTGCCACCCACTGACTGCTTAGTAGCTTCTTAAGTCTGTGAGAAACACACAGACTTGATTCCTTGAGTATCAAAAACAAAACATTATGGGAAATTTTATTTTAGTATTTTAGATATTCTTAAACTTTTCAGCTTCAGGACCAATTTTCCCCTAAAAAAAAATGAGCACCAAAAAAAATGTTTAAATCAAAGTCTTGTAATTCATCACTAATAGTGGGGCAATAAAAATTATCCACAAACTGGAACTCTCAAAACTTGCTTAACCTAACTCTACTCAACAAGATAATTAACAACATGTCAATGGTGCACACGCGCACGCGCACACACACATGCACACACACACACACAAAGAATGAATACTATTCTAACTTTAAAGACACTTAAGAAACATGACCAAATGTGATGTACCAACCATATTCATTTTTCTGGCTCAAACACACCACTTGTAATAATGTACTTAAGAACAATGTAGAAAATTGGCTAGAAATATTTAATATTATAACATCTCGACAGGATGAAATGGCTGGATGACATCACTGATTCAATGGACTTGAGTTTGAGCAAGCTCTGGGAGATGGTGAGGGACAGAGAAGCCTGGTATGCTACAGTCCATGGGGTGGCAGAGTTGGACACAACTGAGCAACTGAAAAACATTGTATCATACTAAATTACTATTTTTATGTGTGTTACATGATAAAAGTTAAATGATTACATATGCTAAGGTAATCAGATCAGGCCCAAGATGAAGTCCCAAGGCAGCAAACCAAAACTTAGAACTAGGTTCTGGGCTCAGCTCTCCCAGAAAAGGCAGGTCTAGGTCAACCAATCAGTGCCTGCCTGCTCAACACAAGTTACCTGACCATCTCTGAGATTCCTCAAGATCTCTAAACCTAGTAACAGCCATAAGGCCGTCCTTAGTTACTGATGCCTAGACAATGCTCTCAGGTATAAAGAGTATGAACTCAACGTAAGGAGGAGGAGGTGAAAACACCCTCCTCTCTATTTGTGATCCTACCTTTGCTCACAGCTGCAGTTCAGGCATCCAATAGAGTGACTAGCAGAGTAGGAACTCACATATTTATCAAATGGATACAAAGATGGGAAAAAAGCAAAGTTTAACTCAGCAATGCTTTAAGAGTCCCCTTTCTGAGGACCCAGACAAGAGTTCTTATGAATCATACAGAAAGGATAAACACCATACTATACTCAAAATCTCCTGTTCTGTTTAGTGCATAGTTCTTTTTTTTTTTTTTATGAAGCTAGTAATCTTGAGTCTTTCCTTGATTAAAGCTTCCACCAAAAGGTTCCTCTTTCCCTCATATTTATATAAGCCTAGATACAGACACACATACACACAGATACACAGACACACACACACATACACACTCTCTCTCTCTCTCAAATCCCCACACAGGTTCATAGCAGAAATGACTCTAAGGATTATAGGAGTCATTCTTTAAACAATGTGTTTAAAAGGCAATCTGAAATTAGGCAAAGCAAGAGACAAGACCTAGAAATAGCATTTAGAATCACCCAAAACTGAAAATGATGAATTTAACCTACTTGATGATTTGCTTATAAACACACATTTATGTTTTAAATAAATTTCACTATTCTGCAAATTTCCCAAAGGTTTGAACTATACAGTATAAGTGGCACTTTGGCATTCTCAAATTTAACACTCAAAACTTTAACCATTTGGGAATTTCCCTCAGAACCAAACATGAAATTATAAATTTATAAGAAATAAGGATGAAAATTTCTTTTATGAGGCTGAGTTAGCTATCTTATGCCAATCAGCCCATCTCAAAGTAGCTATGTGGATCTCTTTGGTTAGTTTATTCATAAAACAGTAACTCATCAGGAAGGCTATTCAGTAGTATTGTAATCTGACTTCACCTTGCCGCACAGTTTTCTCTTATCCTCATCATGCAATAATATATGCTATTAGTGGGAACATTATTCATCATAAATCCTTCAGTTTTTTAATTTTTGCTGAATTTTAGATTTGACTATAACAACAATGTAATACAGTATGGCAGATTTTAACAAGTTACTAAATGACCTTTGAAGATTTGTCTTATGATTTTTCCCATGAATGTCAAGAGATGACTATTCGTGTCTTTCATCTTCTTCTACATACCTCAGTAGGCAATCTGTTGACTCACTCTCGAGGGGAAGTAAGAATTTAATATTAATTCCTAACGTCCAAACTTTAAAAATTCAAAATAAAAACTGGTTATGGAATATGTCCTTTTTTGAGATTCATACTCTAAATAGTTTTGGGTAAAATGACATATCAAGATTTGCTCCAGCAAAGGGGAAAAGTAAATGTGGCAACATCTTAAGAACTGGTAAATATCGTGAAAAATATATGGAGGTTGTTGAATTGTTTTCTCAACTAGAGTTTATTTGAAATGTTCTTAAGTAAGGAAAACCAGTATTTCACTGGTTATATGCCAAAATTGCACAGCAAAGTATCTAATAAAGTCAGGTCAAGAACTTAACTGCCAAGAAAATAGTGAAAAAGAAAAAATTAAAACTAAATGTACAAAGGTCTTGGCTTCAAGAAAAAAAGCAATTAAAAACACAAAATCAATATTTAAATTACACTATAACTAAAATTTCCATCTCAAACTTTAATGGTATTTATAAAGATTTGCTTGGAATAATAAAGATTATAAATTCATAGAATCACACAACTTTGTAATTAAAAGACAATTTTAAAGAATCATAAAGTATAAATACCTTGCTCAAAATTCCAAAACTGCTCAGTACAAAGAAACACTCGACTAGAAGCCAGGTCTTCTCATAATTGTTAACCTATACTGCTAAACACAACTGAAATATACTTGCTTTCAAAATATTTCTTCTTTTTTTGAGATTTGAATTACTTCACTAACCATAGCATGTACCTTTGTGGGTTACACATCACATCTATAAGATATTAGTTGGTTAACACATTTACAATTATATTAGAATTACTATCTGTAACCTAAATTTCCTGGCTTTCAAAGACTAAATTTAGATTTTAACTATACTTAATGTCAACTTTTTTATATTCAGGTTTGTATGAAAAGCATATAATTTTCTAGAAAATGAATCCCCTTTGTGTCAAATCAGCTCAACTTTGTTACTGTAAACAGCTACTACTGTTGATTTTGTATCTGTCACCCCTAAAAAGAATTTATTTTAACATGGAAGGAAAACACGCTGGGAAAAAAAATGGCTGGGACAGGTGAAGCAGTAGGGAGGGGTATTAAATGCACTATGAACTACTTTGTCATACCAAGTAGCTCAACTATGACTTTACACTTCTTTATGTGGGAAACTAAAAAAAAAAATCACTGCAGATGGTGATTGTAGCCATGAAATTAAAGACGCTTACTCCTTGGAAGGAAAGTTATGACCAACCTGGATAACATATTAAAAAGCAGAGACATTTCATTGCCAACAAAGGTCTGTCTAGTCAAGGCTATGGTTTTTCCAGTGGTCATGTATGGATGTGAGAGTTGGACTATGAAGAAAGCTGAGTGCCGAAAAATTGATGCTTTTGAACTGTGGTGTTGGAGAAGACTCTTTTTTTTTTTTTTTTTGGAGAAGACTCTTGAGAGTCCCTTGGACTGCAAGGAGATCCAACCAGTCCATCCTAAAGGAGATCAGTCCTGGGTGTTCATTGGAAGAACTGACGCTGAAGCTGAAACTCCAGTACTTTGACCAGCTCATGCAAAGAGTTGACTCGTTGGAAAAGACCCTGATGCTGGGAGGGATTGGGGGCAGGAGGAGAAGGGGACAACAGAGGATGAGATGGCTGGATGGTATCACTGACTAGAAGGACATGAATCTGAGTAAACTCCGGGAGTTGGTGATGGACAGGGAGGCCTGGCATGCTGCAGTCCATGGGGTCGCAAAGAGTCAGACACGACTGAGTGACTGAACTTAACTGAACTGAATTTAGTAAAGACCATCTTAGCATTAAAATAACCACATTATTAAAAAGAAGATTTTCCCACACTTCAGATAACCAAAATAGTTGGGCCGTTTAATTAACTAGCAAACTTGCTCTTTATAATAATATCTTCCTATACATGCTACCTTCAATAAACTATGCTTCTTGTTCCCCAACCCCATTAGACAAGATTTCCATCCTAGTCCCTACTGTGTTTCATGTTTCCAGGTTCAGCTACTCCATTCCAGAATAAAAGGTGCTACACTGAATTATTTTTTCCAGATATCTTGAGTTTAGTATATACTCCCAACTCCTGCTTTTCGAAGTTCTATACCATACCGTTTTGAAATCTAGAATGTATCTAAGAACAAATCTCTTCCTCTACTGTTTATTCATTTAACAGGTATTGTGTACCATCCACTCATGTGCATTCTTCTGGGCTAGAAAGTAGAACTATAATAATAATTCTAACAATAAGAGCTACAGTACTCCCTCATAAAATTCAGTATGGTGGATCTCAGAAAGGGTGAATCAACAATTAAAATGTAATTATAATGTAATGTACAACACAATAAATAGTATGCTGGATATAAGTACAAGATGCTAGGTAGACCTATATTACATTCTATATGGAGAGGAAAGAGCCTCACACTACAAGAAAACCAAGCAAGAAAGTTGAAGTGGACAGGAAGCTAACCCAAACAAGTTATACAGAATAAGGCTAATTTAGATATACTTTGTAGAGACAGAGTAGGCTAAATACACATTATATATGAAAACCAAGGCAATACATTAGGAGAGTACAACTTGAGACAGCCAAACCAAGAAGTAAGACTTCTATAGAAGGGGACCCTTCAATAAAGAGTAATTGTAACCCAGAATCTTACACACATTAAAACTTCTATAAATAGTGAAGGGGACTAAGATGGGAATAAAAGTGAGAAAAGTCAAGAAATTCACAGAAAGACTTGAGAAGATAAAATGCCCATTTCTTTAGTCCTTGTTAGGTATCAAGTAAAAGTGACAAGGATTTAAAATGAAACCTTTAACAGGAAGAATTTCTCTTAAACTCAGTATCCTCAGATAAACAGAAAATTGGCTATTTACACCTACTGGGTTAAAAGTAAAGAGGACATAATATGGTTCTGGTTTAAACTTTGGTGTCTTAAGAATCACCTGGGGAGCCTATTAAAAATTCAAATTCCTAAGCCATATCCTCAGAGTGAGGATTCCAAAGACAAGCAGACACTGTTAAAAATACTTGGAGGGAATTCCTGTTGGTCCAGTGGTTAGGACTCCATGCTCTCACTGCCAAGGGCCCACATTCAATCCCTGGGTAAGAAACTAAAATCCACAAGCCACAGTGTGACCAAAAACAAAACCTGGAGACTCCCACTGTTATCTGGCACAGTTTAAAATGTTATGCTGAAAATATGAAGATCGTTATTCCGGGAGTTCAAAACAATGAAATACAAAAGCACCGAAGCAACTGAATGAAGGAAAGAAAAAGCGTTTTCAGTGAATAGTGCTGAGACACTGAGACGCCACCAGCTGTGTAAGGCTGCTTCCTACATCCACCACTTACCCAGACAAGGCAATTTTAACTTCCGAAATCTCACCTCTGCATGCTCCGGAATGTTCTCTTTACCACTTCTCCATCTGAGAGCATTTCATTGCATCTGAACACTGCTTCAGTAGCCTCAAACCAGTCTTTCTGCCTTCAGGCTGTTCTCCACTGATTAATCCCCCTCATTGGTATCTAAGTGACCTTACTGGTCATATCACACACAATCCAGCTTAAAACCTTTCAGATGTTACCTATTATTATGACCCTTTTGAGGTCGATTAGGAAGAATCAATAATCCACCAGTAAGATATCTAGAGGTAAAATTACATTTTAATACAAGTAGCACCGTTTTCATTATGATTTTAATACAAGTAGCACAGTTTTCATTATCAAATTTAATTCCATTAAATCACTTACATCATAAAACAGTTTTCTATCAGCAGCTAGTCGTTTAGACGCCAGAGTCTTGGTAACATGATAGAAGGTAAGTAACGCTCTGTGTTGTCGAAGATCATCTTGGACTTTCACAGATTCTATAAGAGTGGGAATCAGTTCAGGCCACTGTCGAGGACAATCCAATCGAGCAACTTTTGCAATCAGCACGGCAATCTGAGTTGCAATCTAAAGGAAAAAAAATTAACTTTCAGAAATAAACATGAAATTAAAGCAATAGGTAAGGAATATGTTCACAGCTGAAAATTACCTTTTTAGTTAATCATATATTTAACAAAAATAAGTAAGATTTCACTGAAAAAATGTTTAAGACAGTAGCTCTCAATGTGGTCTATGGGACCCTGGGGGGCCTAGGAGCTTTTCTGTGAGGTCTACCCTTTTATAACTTCTAAAATAACATCACAACATAGTAAATACTAGATATATTTGAAATTCTAGACATTTTTTAAGTAGCCAGACAGTAAAAAGATATGCAAAAATGCAGAACAATGTTACTCTCTTCATTAAATATTTATTGTTTGGGGAAATAGCTACCGTTCACTTTTTAAAATTACAGTTCACTTTTTAAAATTTAATCCATATTAATAAATAATATATTTTAGGTTTATCATTTTTAATTTCTAGTACAATAAACATCAACATATATAACTCTTTCATATTTTATTTCAGCAGTGTAAGGAAGTTCTAAGGATGTAAACTTTGAGAACCACTGATCTAAGAGTGGAAATGAATATCAGTATTAGGTATTCACATAATGATATTTGTTCAGATCAGAGTTTCAAAAATATTGGTTGACAGAACACCTAAGCAATGGTTTATCCCTCAATTACCCAAGCCCCTCCCTGACAACCACCTCCTTCCCCAAAGAGAGTAACTCTGTTCCTCTCCAACTTCTATCAATTCTCCTTAGCTGAGAAAGTGCAAAAAAAAAACAAACTCAGATCATATAAGTAGGTTTAGATAAAACTACATTGGATACACCTCCTAATACAGTGTGCTTTAAGAGTCAAATGAAAAGAATCAAATGTAAGAAATAGTAACTTGGAAAATATAATTTTTGTATCATAAGCAAACTTATTTTATTCTTAAAAGAAAAATCTCACTAAAAGGGAAAGAAAAAATAAAATTATATAATCCACTATCTATCCCCCACAGAGTAGTAAGAAGTGAAAATGTGATGAAGGAAACAGACAAAATTCAGAAGTCTGGGCTTCCCTGGTGGTCTGCTGGTGGGGAATCTGCCTGCCAATGCAGGGGAAATGGGTTCAATTCCCGGCCTGGGAAGATCCCACATGCCGTGGAGCAACTAAGTCCATGCATCACAATTACTGAGCCAGTGCTCTAGTGGTCACGAGGCACAACTACTGAGTCCTGCATGACTAAAGCCCAGACTCTGCAACAAGAGAAGCCACCTCGGGATGCATGAGACAAGTGCTCGGGCCTGGTGCACTGGGAAGACCCAGAGGAATCGGGTGGAGAGGGAGGTGGGAGGGGGGATCGGGATGGGGAATACATGTAACTCCATGGCTGATTCATGTCAATGTATGACAAAACCCACTGCAATGTTGTGAAGTAATTAGCCTCCAACAAATAAAAATAATGAAAACAAATAAATAAATAAATAAAAAGAGAAGCCACCTCACTGAGAAGCCTGTGCACTGCAAAGAAAACCGAGCACAGCCAAAGATAAAAACAACAAATCTTTTTTAAAAAAATCAGAAGCCATCCTGTAATTGGGGGGGAATTATTTCAATAATTAATATACAGAGAGATAATTTCAATACTGGCTCCAAAACTGAGAAGTTAAAAAATATACAGGTGTATCTTCAAATGATTCTGAATTTTAAATCAGTAAGAGCCAAATCTAATCAAAATTCTTCACAGCTAGAATTGCATCTCAAAATTTAAAAACCATCAGAGAAGTGTATATAAACATCACAAGTGAGCATTATTTAATAAAATTTTATTTTTAAAGCAAAGAACCAAAGTTAGTTTGGAAAAAAAGAAAAAAAAACAAGGGAAAGGGAAGAATAGTTGGCACTCATTTTCTCACTAACCTGGTTTATCGGTTCATTGAAGTTGGTGATTAGTCCTGCGCGCAAGGTAGATTTCTCTTCCTCTGAGAGAGCACTGTAAAAAGACATGTTTATTACGCAAAAGAACGCTGCAAAATAATGAATGCAGGTAAGCATGACAGAATTTTAACAATAAAAAGTCTTTCAAACAATGTGTCCCTAATTGTTCAGGTAATTAGACAGAATTATTTCCATTTCTTGTATACTGACACATCAGGTAATTCAAACTTCCTTCACAGCTGAATAAATAGGAAGCACAAAACAGTGCAAAAACTATTAGGAAATAAGTCTAAACTAAAGAATGTGATATTCTGATGTCTGCTTCTACTGATATAAAAACAGCTGCTGACTAAAGCATTTAATGTCTGGCTTTAAAAAAAAATCTATAAATAAATGCTAGTCTTACACTGACTTCTTTACAAAATTCTCTGTGGAAGAGAGGATCAGAAAAAAGAGAATATTTGGTATGGAAAACTTGTTAAATCAAGTAGCTTAAAATCTCTCAGGGACTTCCCTGGTAGCCCAGTGTATAAGGCTCTGGGCTCCCAAAGCAGGGGCCTGAGTTCGATCCTTGGTGGAACTAAGACGCCAGAGTCTGCAACTGAGTCCATGTGCTCGAGAGCCTGCGGTCCGAAACTAGAGAAGCCATGTTTTAAAAGGCTGAACATAACACTAATAATTTTGACTGCAAATGAGGGAGGCAACTAGACAGCAAAAGGACAGATATGGCAAATATTCACTGCATAAGACTGTACATACTTTGAACTATATGAGTGTTTTATTTTAAAATTAAATTTTAAGCCATTCATTTTAAGGTTTTCTATTCTGGCTATGATAAAGTAGCTGGTATTGAATGAATCACTCCCCCAAAATTAGCTATATAAAAGTTGCATACAATTTTTTCTAATGTTTTAAGGCATCTGTTGAGTTGAAATGTGCCCCCCACTCCACCAAAAGGTATGCCCAAGTTCTAACCCCAAATACTTGTGAATGTGACCTTATTTGGAAGTAAGGGCTTTGCAGATGCAATCACACTAAAATGAGGTCATACTGGATTAGAGTAGGCCCTAGTCCAATGATTGGTGCCATTTATAGGAAGAGAAAATTCTGAACACAGACACAGAAGACACACCTGAAAATAAGGCTATGTGACAATGAAGACCAAGACTAGAGTTATATTTGAAGATTAATGTACCTCTCTTGGTAACTGATGAAAAAGTAGCACAAAATCAGTAATAATATAAAGGATTTGAATAACATAATTAACAAATTTGACCTGATAAATATAATAAAACATTTCAATCCACAACAGCAAACATACATGCTTTACAAATGCATATAGAACATTTACCAACATACCATACGTTGAGATCATAAAATAAGACAGCATAGTCCAAAGAATGAAATCATTAACAGAAAACAAAAAAAGTCCCACATGTTTGGAAATTACGTGATATACTTCTAACTAACCCATGGGTCTAAAAAGAAATCAAAATTTTAAAATATTTTTGACTAAATGGTAATGAAAACACTACATATTGAGGCTTATGAAACTGAACTAAAGTCATAATTATAAAAAAAAAAGCCTTATGTTTTAAATGCATATAGAAGAAAAACTGAAAACTACCTAAGCTTCCATTTAAAAAAGCTAGAAAAAGAACAGTCAAATTAAACTCAAAAAAGTAATTAAAAGTACATTAAGCCTGATAAAGTACAATACCTAAAGCAATGAGAGACAAATAGGTCAACAAGTCAAAGTAGAGAAATCCAAAAACAGACCCCTGTGTGTAAAGTGCCTGATAGGCTATAAGGGAATCACTGAAATGCGACAGGGAAAAAACACATGGAGCTGCCCTACTTCACATCTTTACCTTACACAGAAATGACAGACAGACCATACACCAAAATCTGAAAAGTAAAACAAAGCTTCTAGCAGAAAATACATTTTCATGACGTTGTGTGGAAAAACTTTGTAAACAGATCCCAAAAGAATGAATTATAACAAGAAAGGTAGCTAAACTGAACTTAAATTAAAACTGAGTTTCATCAAAAGATACCAGTAAGAACGTGAACAGGCAAGTCACAAAACAGAAGATATTTTCAATATGTGTATTCAACAAAGGACTTCTACCCAAATATAGATATAAAGTCCCATAAATCAATAAGATAGTTCCATTTTTTTAGATGTGCAAATGGCAGGTCCTTCACAAAAGAAGAGCTAATAAGGACCAGTCCAGTCAGTTTAGTTGTTCAATCGTATTCAACTCTTTCTGACCCCGTGGACTGCAGCACGCCAGGTTTCCCTGTTGATCACCAACTCCAGGAGCTTACTCAAACTCATGTCCATCGAGTTTGTGATGCCATCCAACCATCTCATCCTCTGTCATCCCCTTCTCCTCCTGTCTTCAATCTTTCCAAGCATCAGGGTCCTTTCCAATCAGTCAGTTCTTCACATCAGGTGGCCAAAGTATTGGAGCTTCAGCTTCAGCATCAGTCCTTCCAGTGAATATTCAGGACTGATTTCCTTTAGGATTGACTGGTTTGATCTCCTTAGCAGTTCAAGGGTCTCCCAAGAGTCTTCTCCAACACCACAGTCAAAAGCATCAATTCTTTGGCGCTCAGCTTTCTTTATAGTCCAACTCTCACATCCATACATGACTACTGGAAAAAACCATAGCTTTGACTAGATGGACCTTTGTCAGCAAAGTAATGTCTCTGCTTTTTATAATGCTATCTTGGTTTGTTGTAGCTTTTCTTCCAAGGAGCAAGCATCTTTTAATTTCATGGCTACACTCACCAACTGCAGTGATTTTGGAACCTAAGAAAATAAAGTCTGTCACTGTTTCCATTGTTTCCTCATCCGTGTACCATGAAGTGATGGGACCAGATGCCATGATCTTTGTTTTTTGAATGCTGAGTTTTAAGCCAGCTTTTTCACTTTCCTTTTCACTTTCATCAAGAGGATCTTTAGTTCCTCTCCGCTTTCTGCCATAAGGGTGGTGTTATCTCCATATCTGAGGTTATTGATATTTCTCCTTGCAATCTTGATTTCAGTTTGTGCTTCATCCAGCCCAGCATTCTGCATGATGTACTCTGCATATAAGTTAAATAAGCAGGGTGACAGTATACAGCCTTGACATACTCCTTTCCCAATTTAGAACCAGTCCATTGTTCCATGTCCAGTTCTAACTGTTGCTTCTTGACCTGCATATAGTTTTCTCAGGAGGCAGGTAAGGTGGTCTGGTATTCCCATCTCTTTAAGGATTTTCCAGTTTGTTGTGATCCACAGAGTCAAAGGTTTTGGCGAAGTCAATAAAGCAAAAGTAGATATTTTTCTGGAACTCTCTTGAGACTAGTAAGCATATGAAAAAAGTACTCATTGTCTATCAGGAAAATGCAGAAATTTCCAAGCACACCAGCATGACTAAAATGAAACAAACCAGACCAACTATGGTGAGAATGTGGAGCAAATGTCAACACTCATGCTACTGGTGGAAGGGCAAACTGGTAAAAATAGCTTACAAAACTAACCGATAGTATCTACTAAAGTTGAAAGCAAGAAAAATATCTACTTCTGCTTCACTGAATATGCTAAAGCCTTTGACTGTGTGGATCACAACAAATTGTGGAAAATTCTTAGAGATGGGAATACCAGATGAGCATACGTGTCTTCTGAGAAATCTGTATGCAGTTCAAGAAGCAACAGCTAGAACTGGACATGGAACAATGGACTGGTTCAAAACTGGGAAAAGGAGTACATCAAGGCTGTATATTGTCACCCTGCTTATTTAACTTAAATTTGGAGTACATCATGCAAAATGCCAGGCTGCATGAATCACAAATTGGAATCAAGATTGCTGGGAGAAAAATCAATAATCTCAGATATGCAGATGATATTACTGCAAATTAAAAGACATCTGCTCCTTGGAAGAAAAACTATAACAAACCTAGACAGCGTATTAAAAAGAAGAGACATTATTTGCTGACAAAGGTCTGTATAGTCAAAGCTATGGTTTTTCCAGCTGATGTCTACGGATGTGCAAGTTGCACCACAACTTGCTGAGTGCCGAAGAATTGATGCTTTTGAATTATGGTGCTGGAAAAGAGTCCCTAGGACTGCAAGGTGATCAAACCAGTCAATCCTAAAGGAAATCAACCCTGAATATTCATTGGAAGGACTGATGCTGATGCTGAAGCTCCAATACTTTGGTCACCTGATGCAAAGAGCCAACTCATTGAAAAAGACCCTGATGCTGAGAAAGACTGAAGGCAGGAGAAGAAGGGGCAGCAAAGGATGAAGCGGTTAGATAGCATCACTGACTCAATGGAGATGAGTGTGAGCAAATTCCAGGAAATGGAGGACAGAGAAGCCTGGTGTGCTGCAATCCATGTGGTTGCAAATAGTCAGACATGACTTAGTGACTGAACAACAACTAAAGTTGAACATACACCTGATCATCGTAAATGACAGTAAAATTCAAACTTAAATGCAACAAGATATGTAAAAGGTTTTTCCAAGAAGCATTACCTTGACAGTCAAAAACTACAACCAACCTTCATACCCATCAACAGCAGAATGGACAGATAATGGTATTGCATTCCTAACATGGATGCTATACTTCTACAGAAGAGAGCAAAGTACTGCCACTCGCAACTACATGGATAAATCTCATATTATAACACTGGATACAAGTCAGACACAGAAGAGAACATACTATGACTTCCATCTGTGTGAAGTTAAGAAACAGGTAAAAACTAATCTCAGGTGAGAGACAGCAGATCTTTGAGGAGGGTGTATATAGGTGACTGTGAAGGAGCAAAAGGGAAGTTTCTGAGGTGCTAGTTCTACCTCACTCTAAGTTGTAGCTACACAGGTGTGCTACATTACGAACATTCAAGGTGTACCCTTCATGTCTGCACTTTTTAAGCACATTTTTATTACACTTCAATAAAAGTGTTTTTAATCTTAACAGTGACTTCTGTAAAGATTAGTAAACAAACGAGAAAACAAAGATTAAAATAAACATGGGGGGAGATGTGGAACAGGTAAAAGAAGTAAAAGAAAAAAGAAGCAGAAACTTCCACTTATAATGTAAAATAAGTCATGGGGATATAATGTACAGCTTGGCAACTAAAGTTAATAATACTGCACTGTGTATTTGAAAGTTTCTAAAAGAGTAAATCTTAAAATTCATCACAAGAAAAAAAAAACCTCTCTCTGTGTGGTGACTCCTGACGGCTCAGCAGGTAAAGAATCTGCCTGCAATGCAAGGTTCACAGGAGACAAAGGCTCCATTCCCGGGTGGGAAAATCCCCTGGGGAAGGAAATGGCAACCCATGCTAGTACTCTTGCCTGGAACATCCCATGGACAGAGGAGGCTTGTGAGCGACAAACAGTCCAAAGAGCCTGACACAACTGACCCAAGGACACAGCAGCACATGAATGGAGACGGAAGTAAACTACTCACAGTGGTGAGTAGTATCATTCCACAATACAGACACATTTTGAATCATTATATAATTATATCTGAAACTCATATGTTACGTGTCAATTGAACCTCAATTTAAAATACTAAATATCTAGGCAAAAGGAGTCAAAGCCCAATGCAAGTCTATGCTTTTCTATTAAAAATTATCCCTCTAATCGTTTTATAACACTGCTGAACTTTCCAATTTTAATAGTTTCCTTCTGTCAATCAAATCCCTGAAACAATGCTTTTTCTTAAAATGTTTTGATTCAAGCTTGAAATGCAAGTTTTTCTATGCCAAGAAGGCAGGTTCAACAGTTTTCATGGTTCTCATAATTTAAATTGAGATTATAATATAATGATTCATTACTAAAGCAGAGAAGAGACCATGTGAAAATATATATATACCTGTTAAAGAAAAGAAGCCCTTAACCTGAGAAATCTCATGACTTCAGCAGTTTCCCAATAACAGTTAGCACACACCTTCAACTTGTGCATGTTTTCAATTAGAAGAAATCAGACTATATTCCAAACAGAGACTGGACAGTATCTAATTAATTAGGACCCAGTAAAAGTTGCATTTTATGTAGTAATGATAAAGCTTAATCATTCTGTGAAAACATTAGCAAGAATAGAAACTATACGATGGCACTTTCATGAGAACACAGATTTTTTTTAAGTGTCTTAAGTTCAAATATGAGTTCAATAACAAATCTTTGCTCCTTTGTTTTACATTTTTACCATCTTTGCTGCCTAAGTACATTATCTCCCTTCCAGTTTGGATCTCAATATTATCACTAACAGCTTGGGGTTTAACTACCTAATTAAAATTTAAACTAAATTCCAGTTTCCAACTCTTTACATGAAAGTACAATCTGAAATATTTAATCATAATTCACTCTCCCATCCAAGATAGTCATTTATTCTTCATATAACTTGTAAAACAAAATTAATTTTAGGAGACACATAAAATTTAATTGGACATAGCAACAGAAACATGTCTTGCTGCATTGTTTCCTACAACTCAACAAAATACACTTTCTCATCACTAAACATTCCATTTCTCTCAAAATTATGAATTAATTTTAAAATAAAAGAAAGATTTGATTAATATTACAGCATCCTAACTGTAGCCTTAAAAATTCTAGTTACTTCCAGTATTATCCAAGAGCATATTTTACAGCCCACTTTGAGGCACTCTATTTTTTTAAAAAGGGCCTATGAACATAAAAACTACAGAGCTGCAGTACCATCTACTGGAGAATAAAGACTATGTTACCTCTTTGGCAAAGTTTTCTTTTTTTTTTAACTGGAGGATAATTACTTTACAATACTGCAGTGGTCTCTGCTGTAGGTCAATGAGAATCAGTCATAATTTTATATATATATCCCCCTCCTGTTGGGGCTTCCCCAGTAGCTCAGCAGTGAAGAATATACCTGCAATGCAGAAGATGCAGGTTCGATCCCTGGGTCAGGGAAGATCCCCTGGAGAAGAAAATAGCAACCCACTCCAATATTCTTGCCTGGAAAACCCCATGGAAAGAGGAACCTTGTGGGCTACAGCCCATGGGGTCACAAAGAGTCAAATATGACTTAGTGACTAAACAACAACAAACGCCCTCTTGTGCCTCTCTCCCCCAAACCAAAGTTTATTATTTTCTATCAAATTCCTGGGTCCTGTCTATACTGTCTTTCCATCAATCATATAACATGCAATTAACTATTACAATAAATTTTCTCACTTAACCACCTACCGAGTAGTTACAACTGAAATCGATGATATTACAAATGTGTACTACTCAATTTCTACCACAGAGGCCATTATGCGTAAGACTAGACAATTAACATCAGCTGACACAGAGGTGACCTGGAAGTTCCTTCTCAATGACATTTTCCAGAATTCTACTTCCTTTAAAAAAAAAGGCATTTTTTTCAAACATGTTTCAGCATTTATTTTGTGCCCATAAAATTAAAGATCCTTGAAAACAGAAGGCCAACGAGAAGTCCACATATTCTATGCCCAAAGGGGGGAAAACTCACAGAGAAAAGCAGTAAGACAACTAGCAATCTAGTAATTAGCCATGTAGAACACATTTCTTCTTCAGTCGCTAACACACCTTTTTTTCTTTTAAATATCAAACAAATCACAAATGTGCATAGCTCAGGGAGCATATAAATCTCTGGATTGTTCCCATTTTAGTCTATGTGCTACTGAAGAAAGCACAAATGAATTTTTTTATATACAGAGTGAAGATTAATGGATGACGGTCTTAGACCTCCTTGAATGTGAAAAGGATGAGCTTGAGAGGGGAAAAGAGATGGAACTTACTGAGGTGCTACACGTCTCCAGTAGCGATCAATTCCATTTTTAAAATACAACACAGCAAGCCACCTTACATTTATATCCAGAGTGTGGTTTGTGAAAATATTCTGTAAAAAAAAACAAAGCATCAGAATGAACATGTAATAAGTTAAATGTATAGTTAATATATCACAACAAAGTACAGATAGATTTTTCAGACACAGAAATACAAATAACGTATAATACAGCTTATATGTGCGAGCTCAGTCATGTCCAACTCTTCGCGACTCCATGGACAACAGCCCACCAGGCTCCTCTGTCCATGGAATTTTCCAGGCAAGAATGCTGGAGTGGGTTGCCATTTCCTTCTCCATGATATAGTTTATATGCAGAATCTAACAAAAGGGTATAAATAAACTTATTTACAAAAGTGGAGTCACAGATGAAGAAAACAAACTTATGGTTACCAGGGGAAGGATAAATTGGGAGGTTGGGACTGACATATACACACGACTATACATAAAATAGATGGTAAGAACCTGCCATATAGCACAGCAAACTCTACCCAATATTCTGTAATGGCCTGTATGTGAAAAGAGTATTTAAAAAAAAGAGTGGATTTATGTATAGGAATAACATTCACTTTGCTGTACTGAAACTATCACAACACTAAATCAATGATGCTATTGTTGTTTGTTGTTTAGTCGCTAAGTCATCGCCATTTCCTACTCCAGGGGATCTTCCTGACCCAGGGATAGAACCCTCGTCTTTTACATCTCCTGCACTGGCAGATGGATTCTTTACCACTGCGCCACCATCAACTATACCTCAATAAAATTTTTTTAAAAAATTTAAGTATGGATAGATTTTTACTTAAATGCTTCACTTAAATTTTATCATTACACATATATTGTTATTTTCTAAGTATCTATAGCTCTACATTTCATGTAAGAAAGCATATCTGCTTAGGAGTATGCTAATTATGTAAGCTGAGTAATGGCTATGTACAGAGTCATTTCACTATTCTACTTTTAGTTATATTTTAAATTTTTCCTAATAAAAAATTAAACTTGAAACAACAAATCTAATTATACAGTAAAATTTACCATATGAAACTAAAATAAACACCTCTAGGACTTCCCTGGTGCTACAGTGGATAAGAATCCACCTGCCAATACAGGAGACCTGGATTTGATCCCTTGTTCAGGAAGATCTCACATCCCCATACCACAGAGTATCTAAGCCCATGCACCAAAACTACTGAAGCCCATATGCCCTCCAGCCCTCCAGCCTGCGTGCTGCAATGACTGAAATCCCACGTGCATACAGCAACAAGAAAAGCCACCGTGATGAGAAGCCCCGCAACTGGAGAGTAGCCCCTGCTCTCCACAACTAGAGAAAGCCTTTGGGCAGCAACAAAGATAAAAATTTTAAAAATAAATAAATAATTTAATTATATAAATAAAATAAACACAGCTAAATTTAGAAAGAAAAAGTAGACCCACCAACAGAAATGAACAAAATAATTTCAAAGTATCCTCTTTATCAAAGCAATTATCCTTATCAACAAGTTAGATAACAAAATATTTTCAAGTATTATAAAAGCAGAAGTGCTATGAATAATTTCAAATCAAAGTTAACCATTACTCAAAAAATTTATTCACTGTGTTAATCCAAATACAGGCAATTCCTGCCTTCCACCATCATGAGACAGTGTAAAAATGACTGTGCAAGTTAAACCATGCAATATAACCTTGAAATCAAAATTACAACTGTTATGTGACCTTTAAAATGTATTAAAACTGTTACCAAAAAATTATAATAATTATAAAGGTATATGAAATAAGAAGCATAAAACTAATATTTACAGTATAATTTAAAATATCACAAACAGAATTAAAGTGCATTTTATTGCTTTCTAAGAAAATCCCTGGCGGTCCACTGCTTAGGACTCCATGCTTCCACTGCAGGAGCATAGGTTTGACCCCTGGTTGGGGAATTAAGACCCTGCATGCATAATAATAAAATTCTAGAATAGTGGGTAGATGGGACAAATAGGAATTGTAGGGATATATTAACTAAAACTGTACTACAACTCAGACCTAGAACAACTCAAATCCCTAGAAATGACCTCTTAAACACAACCTTGTGTGGGAAAACCTCAGTCAAAAATAATGATGTGGAAGTATGTCTTTCACTATATAAAAAAAAAATTTATATGTTAAGTATTAAAAATAGATATGATACTATAATCCTATTTTTAAAAAATCATGTGCATACCAAAAAAAAGCTACAGAGACAGTTGTGTAATGCCTATTTATTCCTTAAAATCTGTGACAACTGAGGCAGAGTCCCTCTTTCAGTGTCCTTGCAAAAGAAAGCATAGGTTCTCTCACCACATTAATTGCAAGATTAATTAATTAATTGCATTAGGTCTTAGCCCTTTACTAAGCCCTTTACTTAGCCCTCCACACTAGACTGAGTTGTGCCTTATGAGTGGAGTCCAGCACAGAGCCTGACAAAGCAGAAACTTCACAAATATCTATTGAGCAAATGAGTGAATGAATGAGAGTAATGTGGGAATATTGTGGAAGCTGGTAGATCTCAACCTAACTCAGCTATACCAAGGAACCAAGAAAAGTAAAGCTGCAGTGTCAATACAAGTAAATATATATTAAATAAACATATTGAAAAATCAGGCTGGAACACACACCTGAGATCAGGTACACAAATTTAGGAATCTCCAGACTAAACTGGATAGCTAAGGCTCAAACAGAACCAACATACCGAAACAGTGACAACGGGAGAAAAGAAAGAAATAAGTTACATTCAGCAGTTTTTAAATCTATTATTATCTATACTCCATCTAAAAGAAACTTTACTATCCCTCTAAGAAGAAAAGTAAACCTAATAAAAATAAAAACAAACAGGTCTAGGCACTTAATATTTATAATTCATACATTACACAGAAAGTATCAAGCAAGTCTATTGCTTCTCCCAAAGTCAAGCAGTAACTAAAATAAGAAATTCCAGAAGTCTTTTATATTTTGGTCTGAAAAAACACGACTAATTACAAAGCATACTCATTTAAATAAGTACATGAAGAGTAAAGATACAAGATTTTCTAAAGATTTACATACTATGCCCCAAATTTACAAACACAATGCTGGAATGAGCTATGAGAAGAAGACACTTTCTTCAGTCTCTCTAGAAATTAATCTATTTTTTATCTCTGTGTTACTGTGTCAAAGAGACAATTTTCTCATGTTATATTCAGAATACCCAGTATGACTTCAGATACTTAATTTCCCTTCCAGGCATGACGAGTATATCTTCTCAAATGGAACAACTCAAAACTTTTCAGTCATGAAGTCAAAATATGTATGTAATGCCACAGTTTTCTATTTTACAAGATACAGTAAACTGTTCTGCTCTGAATTTTTGACCCATTCACAAATACTGAATCAGTTTTTGACTCAATTCAAAGCCTCCTTGACAGGGCCAGAAACTAAATCTCAAACACCAAGCAGAGTTCTCAAATTTTCAGAAGAAAAAGAATAAGAAAGGTCTTCAATACAAAAAGACATCTTTTCATTCTGGCAGTGATAAAACAATTTGATTAATTATTCAAAAGCTTTAAACTCCCAGAAAGACTTAAAGCAGTGTTAATTATTATACTATTTCCCATAATATCCAGGGGAAAAAAATCAGATATGTTAATAATTTTTAGACGGGGGAAAAGAAAATGTTTCAAAGTGAGAATGATAGACCTGACTCATGCAGCAGTGGGGAGACCTCTGACAAAGAATTCTGACAATGTAAACTAACTGGGGCAAGGAGAAGGATGAAGACAAAACATCAGAGTGTACCACTGTAGTCTTCATTCAGGTCAGCATTAACACAGTAAAACAGATCATCAACACAGTGCTGCCGGCTGAGCAGATTCGACCAGTTAAGTCCCCTACATACACACCAGTCCTGTTCCGAGACAGCGTTCTTAAACCCAGTATGTTCCTGAGTTCAACAACGTTAGCCAAGGTACCCAACTAACGGAGTCAGCTATATACTGTACTGTAATAGGTTTATAATACTTCTCACACAAATAATATGAACATAACTTTTTTTTAATCTTACACTCCAGTCCCTTGAAAAGTACAGTAGTAAGTGCAACAGCTGACATATCGACAGGGGCTGGCACACACGTTAAATATTCACATCGCTAAAAGTTTGCAACTTGAAGATTCATATGTAGGAGACTTACTGTACCCTGAGGGGTTATTTATTCAACCATCAACAAACATTTCTTAAACATCCTCAAGAGCCACGCCCTGAACTATTATGTGGCAGGAGGGATGGCAGCCAAACATCTGGATCAGTTTCACTAAAGTAAATTAAATTTGATTTAGAACAATTAAAATAATAGTACCTCATTCTATCAAAAATAATAGTAAACTCTTTTAGAACAACTTACCAGCAACACTGAATAGAAACCCGGCTGCGTTTCCCACTGCTTCAGCTGCTCTTCAGCGGGTTTTAGCACGGCAGTATCCTGACTGGTGGCCTGTGTTAAGACCTGAAGAACCACAGTACTGGCACTGTTGAGATCCATGGAAACCTGGAAATGACAAGTCAACATGCCTGAATGTACATTATACTTAAAAACTTAACAGTAACGAAAATGGAGAAAAGGCCTCAACGTTCTGGATTACTCCCACACTTCAATCATTTACCTACTCTTTCAAGCTTCTGCTGGGTTTCGCTTTCATGTGCCACCCATACTCTTACTTAAAACCCCCATAATTCAAATTGCCTTTGCTTAAACCAATTTATTTCTAAAAGAAAATGCCATTTTAATATCCCATAAATACAAGGCAGTAAGTTGGAGCGGGGAGGGGCAACAACAAACAAAAACAAAGTTACTAAGTTCTGGTTAAACAACACTGCCTGCTCAAGACTCTAATTATTTTGTTTCTTTTTCTAGATAAGCATTATAAAAGCTATAAAAGTATTAACCATTTTACCATTAAGAAGACCAGAAGGAAGAGAACTGGAAAAGGAATGCTTTGACTGATAGCTAAGTACCTCATGTTATCATCTTAGGTGCCGCCAATAATATGTATCTGAAACTTTTTTTTTAATATAAAAGACAAAATGCATACCCAAGAAATATTGGAGGGGGGCGGTGGGGGGGAGGCAAGAGGATCTAAACCAACAAACAAAATATAAACCTTAAGTTAGAAAAGATCTTAAAGGTTGGATCCTTCAATAAAAATTTTTATAGAAGTTTAGTTAATGTACAATGTTGTGCTATTGTAAGTACACACCAGAGTGATTCCATTATTATAGTGTCTGAAACCATCCTAAAAACACATAAGGAATTTATTGAATTCTCTAGGATTCTGTTTCTAATCATCTCCAAAACTGTGTACGACTGTTTGTTGGGAAAGTATATGTAGTTGTTCACAATACACATACACAAAGTATGCAAAAGCAAAACTGAAAATGAGGACTTCCTTGGTGGTCCAGTGGTTAAGACTCTGTGACTGACTCTGTGCTTCCACTGCAGGAAACTCAGGTTTGACCCCTGGTTGGGTCACTAAGACCTCACATGCTGCACAGCATGGTCTAAAAACCTTTAAAAAAAAATTTTTTTTTTAAAAACTGAAAATTTAAAGTTGATAGAAACTAGTTCTTGGTACAGAACTAGTTTGGTACTAACTCTTGGGAGTTAGCTTTGTGATTCAGTTCAGTTCAGTTCAGTTCAGTTTGTGATAGCAATTGTCTAAGACTGAAGAATGTTCCAGATAGTAAAAGTCTAAGTCATTAACCCATAGTCAAAAGCAAATTACTTCGTTAAGAGTTGTAATTAAATTGCAATGACTCAAGAAAAGGGAAGGTCCCAAAAATTGATTCAACAAGAAATCTGATCCAAAGTATTATAACTTTTAAGGAAATTAATCATTTTGAAGCCTTTGTGAATAAATAAGGGCAAGGATATAATAACTGGAATCAGACAAATATTACCAATTAGCAATGGAGTTGGGCTAAGGTTATAAATTAGTAGTCTGTTCTTGTCTATATCTTAGAAATGATTAGGGTGGTTCCTTGTAAAACATATATTACCTCCCTCACTAATTAGGAGTTTTTTGTGGGTTTTTTTTTTAACTTTCTTGGTAAATTTTTTATTGAAGTTTAGCTAATGTACAGTGTTGTTAGTTTTAAGTCAATCACACATCAAGGTGATTTAATCAATCACATTTGATCACAAATCACACAAAGTGATTTAATAACACATCAAAGTGATTCAGTTATTTTTATACAATATATATATAAGTCATACATATTTTTTCAGATTCTTTTCTATCACAGGAGCTTCTTGAATAAGTTTCAGTGTTTCATTATCACTTGAAAATAAGTATAAGGATTTTCACTCAATTTACAGGGTTTGTCGGTAATGTATGATTTCAAAAATAGGCTATAAAAGAGAGACTCACTTTATGGAGGCCCAAGGAGATACTTTAAAGAGATAGGCAGGACCTCCCTGGTGGTACGGTGGGTAAGAACCCACCTGCCAATGCAGGGGACATGGGCCCAGCCCCCAGTTCAGGAAGATTCCAGCCGAACACTGCTGAGCCTGTGCTCTAGAGCCCAGGCAGCACAACCAGTGAGCCCTCACGTCAAGGCTGAGCCCCGTGCTGCCCACAGGCTGCAGCGACTGAAGCCGGAGCACCTAGAGCCTGTTCTCCACCAGAGAAGCCGCCACAATGAGAAGCCCGGGGAGCCACACCTAGAGAAAGCCCACGCAAAGCAATGGAGATCCTACGCAGCCAAAAGTTAATTAATTAATGAGTTAAAATGTTTAAAAAAAAATAAAGACAACAGCAATATACTTTTCTACCTAGTTGAAATACAACGCAAATCACAAAAGCAAGCCGTGTATGTAATTTTTACCTTTTCCAGTAGACACATTAAGAAACAGAAACACAGGAAATTAGTTTTATTATATCATATTGAACTCAATATATCCAAAATGTTATCCTTTCAATATTTTGAAAGTACTAATAATGAGATATTTTACATCTTTTATACTAAATCTTCAAAATCCTGTCTATATTTTATACATTTCAAACTAACCCAATTTCAAGTACTCAATATCCACATGTGGCTAGTGGCTACCGTATTAAGACAACTCTAGGAAAACCCACTCAAAGTGGCACCAATCAAGGACTGGCAACACCAGCATCACCTCACAGAAACACAAATTCTCAATCCTCTCTCCAAACCTAGCAAATGAAAACGGGGGCTGACAGCAGGAGGCACTGGGGCTAAGAGCTGTGCTTTAATAAGTCCTCTAGGTAAATCTTCGTAATTGTCAAAGTGTGAGAAGCACAACTTTTAGAACATCTACAACTGAGGTACATCTGAAAGCCCAGCTCTACTGGTAATGCAGTGGATGACAAAACATACAGGAGCTTCCATTATACATTCCTGAAAAAGAAGGTAGACCAGCACTGATTTGCAGTTCTCACAAGGGAACTGTCTAAAGTATGAAGAGCAGGAATTCACTGATTCTCCCCCAAGCAAAAGAAAATAATAATAAAGGTGTTTTTTTTTTTAAAGCCAGTATCTGAGCATATATTGTATGCCAAGCATTGCAGTACATGCTTTATGTATTTATTCCTAATGATTATTCTATGTGGTAGATACTATCATCACCATATGTTAGGTAGGAAACTAAAGGATCAGAGACCTTAGCTTGCCAAGGTCACAGACTACTAAGTGGCAGTCCCTGGACTTGAATACCAAAGCCACTACTCTTAATCAGGATCTAATTCTGCCTTTCTGTGGTCCATGGGCCCAACAAGACACACAATATATAGTTAATAGATACTTGATGAATAAACAAAAATGATCAATGTTGAACAATAAAGGACTTCACACTGAACCACACAGAAGCTTATTAACTGATTTATTGAAAACCTTTGTGTGCCAGGCACTGTTCCAGGTGCTGTGAATACAGCCGTGAACGACACGGTGTCCCTGACTTCATGCAGTTTACATTCTAGTGGAAGAAGATAGTGTTAGGAGGTGATAGGAGGTAGTGATTAAAGAAAATAAGATAACGTTAAAGATGGACTCTGACTGTGTTACTTTAGATGACTACTCTGAGAAGTCTTCTCTAGTGACATTTATAAGAGACATGAGAATGACAAGAGAGACCCAGCCGAGCAAAAATCTGAAAGCAGAGATCTGGATGTGGAAACCAACCGAAAGCAAAGTTTTAATATTATAAACAAACCTAAGAAAGTCAGTATAATTGACATTTAATGAGAAGAGGGGAAAGTTGTACAAGATAAGGTTGGAGAAACAGGCAGGAACAGATCTTGTGAAGACTTCGTAGGGGAAAAACTAAAGTGTCTGGACTTTAGTACATGCACAAAAAAAAAAGCCCCTGGAAGACAGGAAGAACATAGGAATATAATAATAGAGAAAGGCTCCACCAGAATTCATCCCTACTCCAACCCTAAAAAGAAAGAAAAATACCATGTCTCTGTTTTGAGCTACTACTAAAAAAATAAAATCACTGACCACTGCCAACCCCCAGAGCAACTTATATCTAGAACAAAGATTACGCAGAGCACTCACACACACCTTCACACTTTACACTTCTCTAGACCTTCATGTCAAAGCAATCCTTAAGTCTATGTACCCTCATCTTTATGCCCCACTTACCCTCACCATTTGGGCTTCCCTGGTGGATCTGTGGTAAAAGGAATCCACCTGCCAATGCAGGAGACACAGGTTCTATCCCTGGGTCAGGAAGATCCTCTGGAGAAGGATACGGCTACCCACTCCAGTATTCTTGCCTGGGAAATCCCATGGACAGAGAAGCCTGGTGGGCTATAGTCCATGGAGTCGCAAAAGAGCTGGACACGCCTCAGGAACTCAACAACAACCCTCACGATTCATCTGGTCTAATGGGAATGACAGAATCCCTACCTCCCTCCAGCACCCTGATCCATCCAAGTCCTCCCCAGAAGAATATGCCCCGTCCTCTTCTCCTCTAGCTTTTGATTCCTGCTTCCAAGAGGCTCATTTCAGTCTGAGAGGGAGAGCTCAGCTTACATATATTTAGAGAACCAACGCTGTGCCAAGTACTGAAATAGTTGTTAAGAATTGAAAAGGGTCTTTTCCCCCAAAATATGGAGAATAATGAGGTGGGGGGAAGAGTGAATTATTCTTATTAAAACAAACTATGAAAAATAAGTTTCTAGAATACCAGTTGGAATCCAGAGTACATTTCCCCCACAAAAACAATATTATGAGTGGTTTATCTAATGGGTAAAAAGGTTTTTTGGCCTGAGAAACAAATCATCATTTGTAACTTCTACTGGAAATATTTCCAAGTACTAATTAACTTACAAGGGAAGCTTTAGGCAGCAGTCAGTTCCTGAATTGCAGATTAAGTGTATCCTCAAAAATTAACAATTCAGCAATGACAGACCCATCATAATGGATTATTTAAAATGCCACATTACTAAAGCATATTAAATTTTTTAAAGATCCCATACCAAACCAATAAAAAGCAAATGTGGCATATGTATAAGT